AAAAAAAGATAAACAGACAAAAAACACAGAAAGGACAGAGAATAGAAAAAGAGAGACAAGAATGCTATTTGCTCGCTCACTGGTCTGGCTAATATCATAATAACGAGAGACGAATGAGACAAGAACACAAGACAAGCAAAGGACAAAAAACACGCCATGCAACAAAGGACAACAAAAGAAAACCACTACAGAACAAAAAAGCACACACAAAGACAGGCAAAATACCTCCACGGCAAAACAAAATACCATCCCTGCGCTTGTTGATCTTGGAAATGGCGTGGCGTCCCTCGCGGCCCAGAGCCCGCCCGGGCTGCTCACTCTGCCCAGGCACCCCCGCTTCATTTGCTGCCTCGTCCGCGGCCCCAGCACCGCCCTCGGCCCTCCGGCGTGGCCCCATTTTCCCGCGCCCGCGCCTGGCGCGGTCTCGTGCCGTGGGCCTGGCGGGCAGCCGCGCGCACGTTTGCCAGTGGCCCCAGGGCCGGGCCCCAGGCAGGCCAAGGAGCCCGGCACGCCACGACACACACCTCCAGGCCCGGGCCATGCCTTCCATGCTCAAGGTGCTCTGGCGACTCGTGCACGCCACGCAAATGTTCGCGATCCTCGGCGCGGTCCTCGGCGGCCTGGCGCTCGCGGGTCTCTACACGTTCCAGAACTCGTTGATCTACCCGGCGGCCCTCAACGACGGCCGCGGCTACTGCGCCACGCCCGACGAGATGGAGATGCCGGACTACGAGGAGCTCTTCTTGACCACCGAGGACGGCGTGGAGCTCCAGTGCTACGTGCTTCGCCAGGACAGGGCCTCCGCGGCGTACACCAACAAGACTGTGGTCATTCTCTCGCCGAACGCCGGCAACATCGGCCACGCGCTCCAGATCGTGGCCATTTTCTACAAGACCTTCGGCTACAACGTGCTCATCTACTCGTACCGCGGGTACGGCAAGTCCTCGGGCACGCCGCTGGAGGCCGGGTTGAAGCTAGACGCCAAGCGCGTCGTGGAGTACGTGTCGCGCGAGGACGAGCAGCTTCTGCAGACGTCGCTTGTCTTGTATGGGCGGTCCTTGGGTGGCGCCGTGGCCATCCACATGGCGGCCACGTACCCGCAGGCGGTGCTGGGCGTCGTGTTGGAAAACACGTTCCTCTCGATCCCCAAGACCGTGCCGCACGTCTTCCCGGCGCTCAAGTACTTCACCATGTTCGTCCACCAGGTGTGGGACTCCGAGCGGCTCGTGCCCTTGATCCCGGAGCTGACGCCGCTCCTTCTTCTCAGCGCGCGGAGGGACGAGATCGTGCCCCCGGCGCACATGGACCGCCTCTTCCTGCTCCTGAAGGCGCTGCTGAAGACGTTGCACAGGTTTGAACACGCGTGCCACAACGACACGGTCACGTACCCGGCCTACTGGGACATTGTGCACCGCTTCATCCGGGAGCAGGTCAACCCGGTCGGGTACTAGACTAGAGTCTAGATAACAAGAGAGCAGGAGGGGGTGTACAGGGCATCGGGCGCATCGTGGTCGTTATATATGTTTAGGTATACAAAGAGGGGTCTCGCATACAAAGAGAAAGCTTAGACGGAGAGCTGGGGCTCGCCCTTGGCGTTGAAGGTGTCGTGGGACATGAACTCCAACTTCTGGTCATCGGCCAACTTCAAGACCTTCTTGAATCTCTCGCCGATGGTTTTCAACTTGGCCGAGTCGCAGTCCTTGGTCCAGATGGCGACTCTGTAGCCTCTTCTGATGTTCAACACAATGCCGTTGACCTCGTTCTCGTCGTCCTCGATCGTCTCGCCAATCACGGCCAACAACCCGCGCAACCACAAGTCGTTGATCACGGGGTTGGCTTCTCTCTTGTTGACAAACGCGTACTGCCATCTGCCGCCCTTGGCGTTCTTCTCGTCCTCCCACTCGGGCTTGATGCCCTCTTTGAACAAGTGGTAGTCGGACTTAATTGGCAACTGGTTGGCCACGGGAATCGAGTTGTGGATGCCCCAGAACTCCTCCACGGTGTCGAACGTGATCACCGGCTTCAACAAATCAGCCCAGGTCTCAGACTTGTTCACTTGCGGCTTTGTGTACCACAATGTCCATTTGCTGTTCAAGGGGTGCTTGGAGTTGAAGTCCTTCTTGTTCGACAACACGGTCGTTGGGTTTTCCAAGGTCAAATCTTCGGTTTTCTTGGTCAAGTCTTCGGACATCTGGGCAAGTTAGTATATGGTTCCGAGGCCGTCTCGGCAAGAGTGGGCAGGCTCAATGCAGATTGCGGGTTTTCCGGGGACGCTGGGGGCAACTGGAAAACGGGCAGAGTCATGGCTTTTTACAGACAGGCCGGGCCCGGCCAGCCATTGGCACGTGCACTTGGTGGCGGGCGCTTTTCTTTGTTGCCGAATGCCCGTCAGATGTGGTGGCGGTACGTACGTTGATTTCCTCTGAAGTGCTGGTGTTCCGCTTTGAAAGTCTGCGTTACAAAAATCGATGGTGGAAAAAAGTTCTCATGCGCGTAAACGTGGGACTGCGAGCGCGGGGCGGCCGGGCGTGTGCGCGTATATCTGGGCACGCCCGCGGCGGCCGAGCCTGGACAGCAGGCCGGGCTCCTCCTCGCGAGTCTCTTGCGGCGGCGCCCAGACCATCTTATCTATGGACGTTTGTGTTTAAAATTCAGAAAAATTCGGGGTTCTGGTTCCGGTCAATTTGGCACTCGTTTGGTTTTGGGAAGCTGCGTGTGCACGGGTGCCCAAAGTTGTAGTTGGCAGGATCTTGCAGGGCCGTCTGTCTATATTATATTAGCCATGGTGGCCCTGCAGCTGGCCCGACACCTCCACCAATTGACCAATTGGGCCCGAGGTTCGTACCAAAAACAGGCAAAAAAAATGAAAAAAAGATAGCAGTAATTAGCTGTCGTGGCGATAAGCTCGGCTGTAGTGTGTTTTGTTCACTGGGTGTAAGTATCATCTCGGCCGGGCTCGGCATCTGTTTTTCTGCAAGAGGACGTGGCCCGTCGAACCACGAAACCTTAAGGTATTATTTCTGGTGCCTCAGTAAAAACAGTGTATAGCTGATACCTCGGTAAAAACAGTGTATATCTGTTGTATCAGTAAAAACAGTGTATATCTGTTGTATCAGTGGAAACAGTATATAGCTGTTGTCTCAGTAAAAACAGTATGTAGCTGTTGTATCAGTAAAAGCAGTATATAATTGTTGTCTCAGTAAAAGCAGTATATAATTGTTGTCTCAGTAAAAGCAGTATATAATTGTTGTCTCAGTAAAAGCAGTATATAATTGTTGTCTCAGTAAAAACAATGTATAGCCGTAGCAGTAAAAGCAGTGTCTACATTACGTGAAGCCCGTCGATCCCAAATCGAGGTGCTTCCATGGCAGCAGACATCGACAACATATATTGTATTTTATTACCAAGCGCATTCAGCCGCACATCGTGGACACGCCCGTGGCACTCTTTTCGCCGCTTGGGTCTACAGAGTGCCGCATACGGAAATCCTGATTTGTTCTAGAGCTCGCGTGTGGTTCGTGAGGCGGCACTAGAACCCGCCAGGCGCCCAACATCTGCCCCAAGCCTATAAAAATATCACCCGTGCCCCACCTCACAAGATCCAGTTGACCATTAGCACCAACAACCCCAAAGCGTTGGAGTGCACCGCAGAGCCGCCGGCGGTGATGGTCGTGTGCGAATACGTCCGCATGCCGCCCACGCTCCCACCCAAAGTGCCCATACCAATGGACCCGGACGTGGCGCTGACCGTGGCTTCAGAGTACGTCGACATGAAAGACTGGGTGTATGTTGAGCTGACGGTTTTCAAGACGCCGCCAGTTGTGATTGTCACCCAAACAATGGTGGGAGACACGGAGGTGGTGGTGGTTGTCGACGACGACGACGACGAGGCCGACGTGGTGGCCAAGCCTAGAGCCGAAAGCGCAAGAAAATAGATGAAGGCGAGAACGTGCATTGCCGGATTATACAGCCGCTGGTGCCTTGGGGATGCGTTTCAGGTGGAGCTGGAGGTAGAAATAAGAACCCGTGCTTGCCGTGTGCTCAAAGTTTTGCGTGGTTTGCGTGTGCCCGAAGTTTTGCGTGGTTTGCGAGTGCTCAAAGTATTGCGTGTTTTGCATGGTTTGCGGGTGCTTTTTCGGTGTAGCCCCACGTCGGGGCTTGCGCTCTTCATGCACCAAGCGGCGCGCCCCATGGGCGGAAAGGGCAGTGCGGCTTTGGGGCCTGGGCTCTAGAGCCGCGGCTCTAAATCTGCTGGGCCACCAGGTGGCGGACGCGCGGGGCGTGAGTCGAAATTGCCTTTTTTGGACGGGGCCGCCCGAGCCCAAACAACATGGAGTCTGCGGTCTCCTCGGCTCAGGAACACACAAGCCGAGCGGACGAGGGGTTTACTAAGTGTTCAGAAGATGTGGTGCTAGCTCGAACCGGACATTCTCTGTTATTGCTTTTTTGGTCCGCCGTTTGGCGGAATGGACCGCGGCGGAAGATCCACGCTAGGCCCCATGTCGCAGTCGCGTATGTGGGACAGCAAGAATGTAGAATTCGTGGGAAGTTTGATTTCTTGAATGCGGTCATGTGAATTACGGCGGGATGAAAGCAACAAGCGGGAAAAGGGGCCGATCATCGGCAATGCGTGGAAACCGATTAAATACTGGAAGTCTCGGCGAATCGGGAAGTTGCGGGGCTGGGCCCGAATCTCGCAAGAGAGCTGGGCCTGTATCTCGGAATGCTGAGCCCCGGCGGTGCACATTGGCCACTGGCTACTCTGGAATGTGATCCACTTTGCAAGAAAGCTGGCGAAAATTCTGTGCGCGATGTTGAGGTTAGGGCTGGCTCTAGGGCTGTCTCTCCGAGATTTGTGGCCGAACTTGGGTTTGTGGCTGGTCCGAACATGGCAACCAAGCAAGGATATTATTAGAGCCGTTGCGGCAAGACGGTGCAGCGCGGCCGCACACAGGATCCACTGGACTAAGCCAGGTGATAGCTCTGGGGGCACTGGCTGAGAATCCAGAGGAGTTCATGAATCTGCACGGATTGCTACCCGAGGATTTTTCTTTCGAGGCTTTTGCCATGTTAGAATGTTTTTCCTGTCTCTAATAGCTTTGCCACCTCTAATAACTTTTGCCATGTTAGAAAGTGTTTTCTATTTTAAGTAGTTTTTGCCGTCTTTAGTAGCTTTGCTGCTTCCGAAGCTTTTGCTGTTTTTTAAAATTGAAAGTGTTTGCGCTCTTCAAAAACGTCTACTGTTCCTGATAGATTTTGCTTCCTTCAGAAATTTTTGCCGTCCTCCAGAATACTTTGCCGTCAGCCTTTGCTTTCTTTCGTCGCTTTGGCCATGTTAAAATCATTTTATGTCTTTAATCAATTCTGCAATATTAGGAAGTGTTTTCTGTCTCGCACAGCTTGGGCAAACTTGGAAAGTGTTTTCTGTTTCAAATACTTTTGCCGTCTTTGGTAGCTTTTGTCGTCTTTGGTAGCTTTTACCGTCTTTGGTAGCTTTTGTCGTCTGGGGTAGCTTTTGCCATCTAAGAAAGTGTTTGATATCTTTGATAGAAAGTGTTTCCCTCTTGCATAGCTTTTGCCATCTTTTTTGTCTCCAAGCTGCTTGTTCCTCTGTCACGCCACAGAAGAAAGAGCGGGTGCAAAAAGTCTCGGGTGATTTAATTTCATGGTCATGTTGGGTGGCTCATTATGGCTGGAGGAGCCAGAGCAATGGGATTCTGGCCCGCGTTGTCTTTGGGCTGTAGAGCGCGTTGATATGACATCTGCAATCGGCCCAGCCCATTCCATCCGCAGAAGCGACGGCCAAATTTGGGCCGTGAAAGACGGTCATTGCCAAGCACGTCTGGCCTCTGAGCATCTCCTTTTTGGACCTCCAGCCGCTTGATATTAATCTATTGACATGCGGCAGCGGGCTGTGAATGCACTGCTTTTAATGCTAATTCCAGTGCTAATTCCAGTGCTCATTCCAGTGCTAATTCCAGTGCTAATTCCAGGGCACGACTTATAGTGCGCGAGTTCCAATGACTACTTCAAGTGCGCTACTTCCAGTGCACTACTTCAAGTGCACTCTATTCTCAGTGCGCGGTTCTCTCTGGACTACTCCGTTACACGCCCAACCAGTGCTTTTACAGAGGATCCAGTATGGCGCCCGTCCTCGCTGACTCAAGGAGTTTCAGATCGGGGTTGTGAAACACCGGTGTTGGGCCTTTGTTTCATCTTTTCATAACGCCCCCGGGATATCGGCGGGATTGATCTGTGGATCTTTCGTGGTTCTATCTCAGGAGGCCCTGCGGGTCCGTTGGCGGGGCGTCTCAGAAGTCGTCGAGGACTCGGCCAGCACCTTTAGAAATTATGGGACGAATCTCTCTTTTGTCTCTGGCGTGGCTGTAAACGTTGCGTCTAGCTACTGCCAAAATGCCCCACGTCGTGAACCATCCATATTCCATGGCTTTTTGTGTGGACGGATTCGGAAGATTTTGCAGCCACTTGTCCAGGTCGGCCCGAAACAGTGGTCCGGCGCTAGACCGGCACAGCCCCGGCGCGCTTTTTTGCTGGTGGCCCCGTCTGCGCTTTTGTTGGCCCCGTCGTTTGGCGCGCCCGCCGCATCGATATCCACCAAGCAAATCCGCTCCGGGGCCAGTCTATGTTCCACCATAGCTATTTGGCCCCATAACTCCCTGGCCCCAGGCCTCGCAAAATAGTTCAAGTTGAATTAGAAAAGCCGGCTGAACAACAACACAAACAAGTGAAAACATTTGATCAGATCAAATCAAATCAAATCAAATCAAATCAAACCAAATCAAATCAAATCAAATCAAATCAAATCAAATGAAAAGAAAGCACCGTCACTGGCCTCTGCCTCCAGGCGCCCGCGCACGCTTATGAGCAGGCCCACGCCCAGAGCCTTATCAGGCCCACGACGCAGATTCGCACCTCCTCCGTCCTCCTCCACCACAGTTCATTTCAAACCACAATTCACTTTAACCCCAACACACCAAAGCAAAAAACACCAAAGCAAAACACACCAAAGCAAACACGCCAGACTAAAGCCACCGGCCCAAACCCCTCCTTCTTTCACTCCCACATACACCCGCTCGTCAGGTGACCCAGCGCCCGCATGAGCCTTCCACGTGACATCGCCTCCAGCCAGCGGCGGAGCTCCATGGCCAAAATCGCCCGTTCGCCGTGGGCAGCCTCGCCCGGCGGCCTGGTGCCCCGCCACTCGCCCTCGGTGGCCAGCCTGCTCCATGGGAACACGCTTTTCATGAAAAATGACGCCAGCTCCGTGGCCTCCAAGACGGCCGAGCCGCACTCCAAAAGCACCAGTCCCAGCTCCGAGCAAGACGTCCCCGACGCTGCCCGACGGCCGCTGGACGCCAAAATCGCCGAGCTGGTCCAGCGCCACTTGCGCCCGGACGCCGAGCTGGCGCTAGCCGCCGAGGGCGCGGACGTCACACGCCACATCTACCGCTTCGGCACCGACAAGCCGCCGCTCCAGCGCTCCAAAAGCATGTCGCTGGTGACCGGCCAGGACGAGTCCCGCCGCGGCTCTTCGGCCAGCTCGCTCAACGTGCCCGGCGGGTTCCGGCGCCAGTACGTGTTGGCGCACTCCGGCAAGCGCCGGCCCACGTTGCTTACTCGCAACTTCGTGGAGTTCCTCAGCATCTACGGCCATTTTGCCGGCGAGGACCTCGAGGACGATGACGCCGTGGCGTGCCACTACTCGCCGTACAAGTACGACGCCGGCAGCGACGAGGAAACACCGCTAGTACCGCGGACGCCCGACAGCTACAACCCCGCCGGCACTGCCTCGGACGCCAAGGCGTACTTCTTGCTTGTCAAGGCCTTTGTGGGCACCGGCGTCTTGTTCTTGCCCAAGGCGTTTGCCAGCGGTGGGCTTGTTTTCCTGGCGGCCATGTTGTTCCTGTTTGGCTTGCTTTCGTACTGGTGCTACGTGGTGCTCGTGTACGCGAAATTGGCCCTGCGCGTGTCGGGCTTTTCGGAAATGGGCCGCGTGTGCTACGGCACATGGTTCCAGCAGTTGATCTTGCTCTCCATCGTGCTCTCCCAGGTGGGGTTTGTGGCCACGTACATCGTGTTCACGGCAGAGAACTTGCGGGCGTTTCTCGTCAACGTGTCTTCGTACGAAACCGCCGACTGGAACATCGTGTGGTTCATTGCATTGGAGGCCTGTGTGCTCACGCCCTTGAGCTTGGTCCGCGACATCACTAGGCTCTCGTTGCTGGCGCTCTTGGCCAACGTCTTCATCATGGTGGGGCTTGTGACCATCGTGTGCTTCACCGCCATGGAGCTTCTCGGAAACAGCCTCCAGCCGGGCCCGGGCGTCCACTACCTCTTCAACAAGGACGAGTTCTCGCTTTTCGTCGGCGTGGCGATTTTCGCGTTTGAGGGCATTGGGCTCATTATCCCGATCCAGGAGTCTATGATCTACCCCGACCACTTCCCGCGTGTTTTGCGCAGCGTGGTGTTGACTATCTCCACCATCTTCGTGTTCGTGGGCGGCTTGGGCTACCTCACGTTTGGCGACAAGATTGACACTGTGATCCTCCTCAACTTGCCCCAGAACTCGCCCTTCGTCATCTTGGTCCAGCTTTTCTATGCATTTGCAATTCTTTTGTCGACGCCGATTCAAATCTTCCCCGCTGTGCGGTTGATTGAGCTGCGTGTTTTCCCTCCGTCCTACTCGGGGAAGGCCTCCAGTGGAGTCAAATGTATGAAGAACCTCTTGCGGCTGGCGTTTGTGATTCTCACTTCTGCCGTTGCTTTCTACGGCGGCAAGAATTTGGACAAGTTTGTGTCCTTCGTGGGCTGTTTTGCGTGTATTCCATTGGTATACATGTACCCACCCATGCTTCATTTAAAGACGTGTTGCGACTATCAAAACGCAACGTCCAACAGACGCAAAATGTTTCTTATGGCAATGGTCGACTATACAATGATTGTTTTGGGCGGAATAGCCCTAGTGTACACGACCTACGATCTTCTCACCCACTAAGGTTCCAGGTGGTGCCACCGGGCTCTGGACTCATGCAACTTGTAAAATTCATCATAGGGGTTTTTTTTTTCATCTTTTAGCATCAAAGACAGCATCGTGGGCATTTCCTCTTCCAAAGTGATCGTTTTTTTTTGTCGTGCACTCTATTCATAGACCTATATTCAGCAGAACTATTCAGTCGTTTTGATAGTGAAAACATTCATAAGAGTCCTACAGTTGGGAATTTGTTGTTGTGTCACGTACTTCAACGTTTCATTGCGAACAGTTCCTTCACAGACATACAGTCGTCTGCGAATAGAGTCATGTCAGTCACGCAGAGATATGCTAGGGTCCTCAGCAGGTGTCTCACATGGTGCATTTTCCTACTGGTGTACCTTTCTTTCATATTAGTATCTCAATCTGCCAACATAATCAATACGACTTTGTACTAGTAGTTCTCTATAGCCTCGAACATGCTTGCACCTGGTTCGGCTTTCGTGTAGTTGGAACTCCGGTCCTCCCGGGTCTACAGTACTACAACTCTGGTCTCAAAGTCTTGATTGACTATACCTTTCATCTAGTTGCACTCTCATCTTGCGCCCACAAAAACTGGTTTCTGGCGCTCATCTATCCCACCAAGTAAGCAATATAAAGCCTGGAACTCGGCTGGCCTCTTTACTCGTCCTCAAGAGCTTTGGCAATTGCTACCCTGGCATCATGGACCAGCTTTTCCAAGTCTACTTTCGCCTGGTCTCGCAAAATCCTGGCGTCCTTCACCCACACGTTGGCAGCAGACACCAACTCCTGTTGCTGCTCATAAAGCTCGGGTAAATTGTCTTTTTCCCACGCACAGAGCTTGCCCTTAGAAGCCAAATAAGTGAGAGGCATGTTGTACTTAAGCGAAAGGCCCGCAGCAAGCGACGAAGCCACAAATCGGAGCGGCAAGGCTCTCTTGGCCACAAACACATTGGTGACCAAGATCGGGAACACGAAGTTCAGCACCCCGGGGAAAACCGGGTCCACGATCGTCTCATTTAGTTTCGTCTGCAAGTTCTGCCACTCGTTACAAAACGCCGTTTTCTGCGTGCCGAGCTCAGCAATCATCACGCTGGTTTTTTCGTGCACAAAGTGGCGGAATTTGTTGGCCTGTTTCTCCAAATAGGGCGTGGTCCGAACTCCCATGCCGTCGACAAACGAGATGTTGCCATGCGCAGACTCCCGTTCTTTGAGCTCAGGCTTGATCTCCGTATTGACCCCGGGCTTTGTGGTCACGACCTCGTCGTCCTCGTAAAACGATCTGCGGGCCATTTTGTGGTTTCTACGTGAAGTCTCGAGCCTAATTTCAATGAGAGATCTTGGAATCCAGATATTCGTGCTGTATACAGGCCCATGCCGTGGGTGGTTTTTCACCTGGTGCGCGCAGCCAATTTGCTACTGGGTCATTTGTTATATGCCGAGCACACGCCATTTGAGGTGGTCTATTGTTTTGAACCTTTCCTACATCTCATATTTAGTGGCGACTCTTGGTGCCCAACTCTTTGAAGGAATTTTTCGGGGCTTTTTGTATTTGGTTCTTTTGACACCTCACTTGGTGATAGACCCACCAGCATAAGCCGACGTGTTGGTGTGAGCATAAAGCAGTCATGTTGGCCACAGAACCAGTAGCTAATTAAGTAGACGGTAAAAATGATAACCACAGAGAAAGGGTATTTCAGTACATGTCAAGAAATGCTCAATCTCAATCAATAGACAGATAATCGGTAGAATAGGGTGCTGTGATCATTATAGAATACTCAGGCAAATCGTTAGATGCTAATCATGAATTGAGGAGAGAATGTCATACCTGTATGAAGAAAAACCGAGAATATATGAATTACAATGTAAGGAGGATATTCAGACCTATAAAGTAGACGTCCAAGTCATAGGCCGTAGATGCAATTGTCAATTGGAATAGAGAGACTTATTAGCTATAATAACACGACATGTGGGATCAGAAGAGTAGACAGAAATACCAAAATAATCGAGCGAAGCATCAACTCAAGCAAAAGAATCTGTATCTTTGTGAGCATCTTAAAAAGCAGCAGAGGTATATGCGGTATATTCAGGCTCACGGAACCTTCATTGCTCATTCTTTAAACTAGTGATTGAAGTGACACCCTTACTAGGGCCACAGGCACGAAGGGGTCGTTTGGCATATCTCTATATTCTCCTTTGTTCAGTTTTGCAAATATCTAGCTACTATAGTGAGAATAGCCTGGCTGCTTGATCATACATAGACTTTAAAAAAAAAGCCTTTATTTGCTTAAAGGGGATTCGAAGACTTAAGCCAACCTTTCAAATTATTCATACCTGGATATCTCACAAAACTACGAGGTCTTCTTATTCAAACTCGTCCAGACTCTAGCCACTCGATACAGACATACTCACCATAACGGGAATCTCCTATAGGTTCTTTCTCTAAGATTTGTCGCTGTGTAATACTACGGATCCCAAAGTCAGAATACCATATAGTCGCTTCTACTAAGAGGATGCGGTTGTCTCAAGATTCATTAAAAATTGCACACATTCATACTCGAAGCCTGAGGTGTCGCATGATTCAGGTGACACAATGGCTGATTTTCAACAGATTGCTTCTTTTCATCGTTTTCTGACAATTCAATTATTTTGTTGATCTAGGAATGAAGGCCCCATAAGCGATTTGCTGATGTCTCTCGTCATCATGGAAGATCGAGCCACTATGATCTTGCCCATACAAGGATGGCGCTTACACTCCAGAATGTCTAAGATGTCTCAGGTATAAAATGAGTCTCATTTATTGGAGATTGTTGAGTATTTACCTGTGAAATATTAACGTCATCATGAAAAAAGACTGTTCGAGTTAGTTCCGCACAAACATGAATTTGCCCCACTTTTCATCGGTACATCCTTCCAGGTATAAGGGTTTCCCTGTCTTAGTGCTTCTTGAGGAAACTCCGTTTCTTCTTTTTCTTCTCTTCTGGTGGCGGGGCAATACCACCGAGTGGTTTAGCCGGCACCTCCGCCACTGGCACGTCTAGTCGTATATCCTTCAGACTGTCTGGTGTAGAGGGTTTGGGCGAATCCTCAGATATGCTCGCGTGCGATGTCAAAGAGTTAGAGTTAGATGACACGTTCTGATTCACGGCGCGGGGAAACCCCAGGTCCAGGCCCGGCCGTGCTAAATTTGCACCCAGGTACGACTTTCTCGCCTGTCCAATTGGCGGCGAAGACTGGGGGATATGACCACCCCCCGTGGCGTGTTTCGGCTTTCCACCATTGGCCGCAGGCATGGGCATCCCGCCACGGCCTCCATAGTCAATATTAAGTGCCTGATCTGGAAACGCCGAGCGTCGACTTCCTTTTTTAGCAGGATAGCCTTGGGGCACAGCGTGCATAGTTTGATTTACCAGATACTGCAGTGAGCCTTGGCTTTGCATCTGTTGATGGCCCATAGGCATCTGTTGCTGACCCATAGGCATCTGTTGATGGCCCATGGGCATCTGTTGCTGGCCCATAGGCATCTGTTGCTGAAACGCCAAACTGTTAGACCGGTGTTGCATGTTTTGGGGCCCTGCGCTTTGCAGAGCTGCATTATTATGTGCCTGGTTGTTCTGAGGCGGTAACAGGCCGGCGTAATTCACGCTTGCCGGGCCGCTAGCGTGAGACAGAATCCTTGGTCTCTGCGGCTGCATCTGCGGATTAAACAGAGCTCCATTTTGCTGGTACCTCTGTGGGTTTCGAAGCGTGGGTGGGAGCGAATTTTGTGGAAACCCATTCGGAGGCAATCCGTGTGGCGGGCGCTGCTCGTGGCCCATTGCCTCGTACTGTTGGCTATATGTATGGGGGCCCGTTGGGGCAAATGGCGGGCGCAAGTTCTGTCCACCATTATTAAATCCATTCTGTCCATTGTTGAAGCCACCGTTAGGGTTGTGCTGCCCATTGCTATATCCACCATTGGTGAAATTATTCTGACCGTTGTTGAGGCTACCTGGCATGTCATTGGCGGGCACGCCTGCTTGATATGCTGGCTGAACAGGATGCGCCAAAGAAGAATCATGAAGTTGCTCTGCGCTCTGAGCATCATAGTAAAGCTCGCGCTGAGTACCAGGCGCCTGCAGCAGCGACGTACGGAGCTCTCGCTCCCTCTGAGCCAAGGCCTGTTCTCTGCGCTGAAGTTCCTTCTCTTTCTCAGAGAGATCACCGGACGCATGTGGGGGGCCAGGCTTGCTGACAGAGTTTGATGGCGTACGTGTGGCTGGTGGCCCCACGTCCCCATTTAAAGCAGCGCCGTAGACTGCCACGTGTGAAAGATCTGAGAGATCCGGAGACTGCATTTCCAGGAGAGCGTAGGTCCTGCTCTTGGGTGCCTCCATGTCGCTATTCTCTGAGCTAGAAAGAGGAGCTTGCGCGTTGGCTTCAGTATCGGGAATTCCGTCTGTATAGCCGGCCAGGGTTTTCAGTGCTGGCTCCAGACGATGCTGTTGGCTTTGCTGCTGTTGGGTCCATGCAGCCTCCGCTTGCATGACACGTGCCTCCAAGCTCTGAAGCATTGACGACTTGCCCTGCAAATTTGAGTCTAATTCCGCCACTGCGGCCTCTCTCTGCTGTTGGATGCGCGCCAACTCGTCGATTTTGCTATCGTAGAGTCGAGTTTGCTCTTCAAACTTGCGCACAAGCTCGTCCTGCGCTTGTTGCCTCTGCGAGAGGGAGGTCTCTAGTTGTTGCATACGCAATTGGCGGTCGCGGTACTGGGCGTCGGCGGTGTCGCGTTGAGTTTTTAAGTTGGCCAAGTCCGCCAGCAAAACGTCCATTTCACGGACGCGGGCTGGCAGTGAGCCATGTTTCCGCGTGAAGAAGACCGATTCTGTGGCATTCATCTTGAGCAACTGACACACGATGGAGTATAAGTTTTCCAAGTACGGCGTGCGCACAGCGTGGTCGTCGCCCAAGAGGATGGGCTGCAACAAAAGCAAATCTACGTCAACGTCCATCTGATGGAAGAAGCTGTAGAATACAGTATTGGAGTCACGGAACTCTGGCGATGCCGGTGCGTCGGCCACCGGGAAGTGTGCCAGCCAGTTCTTCATGATGTTGGCCTCGTTCTCATAGCCCTTAATGAGCTTGCAGCCCATTTTCTTGATGATCTTGAATAGCTCGTTAACGAGGCCAGAGATCAATGGCTTGGCCAAGATCTGTTTGCTCAAGCGCGCTGGAAACGGCTCCTCGAAAAGCACCAGCAACGGGTTCAACACGATGCGCGGCAACGCAAGCTTCCACTGGTATGTCATGAACTCTTGTGGGTTGCTAGAGCGGAGGAGACTCACATGGCCAGACAGGTGCTCCTGCACCTTTTGCAAGAGCTTGTAGAATTGGGCGTATGTTTCCAGGTCCCGCACCAGGGCCGCCGCCTTCAGCTCCGGCGTGCACGAGCCCAAATAAATGCGCTGGTCCTGGTTCAACACCGCGTGTACAAACGTGTTGGAGTAGGGAAAGCGCCGCACGTCCGCCTCGTTCATGATGGAGCACACGGCCGCGGCTTTGCTCGGCAAGCTGGACACCACAAACGGCTCCAATTGCACGTATCCCGTGGACTCCACCACCACGAGTGCATCTGCATGCAAGAGTGGTGCCACGGCTGTACACGTGTCCTGGAAACTTTGCAAGTTGGACACGCTGAGGAGCACCACGTCATACTTGCGCTGTGGGTCGAGCTGGGCCAATGAGTTTGCCAGGAAGTCGGGCTGGAAGACGCTGTCTCCGAGCAGCTCGGACTGCCAGCGCACCGGCGCCAGGACATCTATGGCTGTGGATACGACGGACACGGAGCATGCTTGCGTGGACTGGAGCCGCCATGCGTAGAAGCACAAGTTGGGGTTTTCGCCCACTAGTTCAGTTAGTATGGGTCACAAGACGAGCGGCAAAACAGCTGTGGCACAGCAAAAAAAAAAACAGTTTTTTTCCACAGCATAAGCCAGGCCTGCTGGTGGTCCGGTGGGGCCACGTCACTTGGGCGGCCCGGGCCGGGAGATGGCCGGTTGTTGGATGGCAAACGTACCTGCGAGGATCAGCAACGCCATGATCGGAAGAGGCAGTAGAAAAAAGAAGACGGCTGCACGAAATTTTCCGCTGGTGGTCCTGCGGTATTTCTAGAGCTAAAGTGGGAGTGGTGTGGCCGGAAGGGTTTTTTTTTCTCGTCCTTGGCAAGCTCCGGTGTCTGGAGCAGCAAGGTGTCAGCGAGCCTCAAGCACGGGGAAGGCGCGGGCAGGAAGCCCACAGGCCGCAGCTTCGTGCAGCGAAGCCAGCGGCGATCGCGGCAGGAACAGAGCGGCCGGGGCCGGGAAGCGAGACGGGGCCGCGGCGGCTATTTTTTTTTTTTGGTGCTGCAATTTGGCTGCGGATTTTGGATCCCGCACTTTTGGGATTTCCGGGCCCGGGGGATTTGTGGTTGAGGCTAGCCGCTGTCTGACTAGATGTGAGTTCTGGACTGGCGGTTAGTATTTCGGGAGATTTTTGTTGCTTAGGAGTTGGCTGTGTTGGCTGGCTTTGTTGATGCTCATGTGGCGGTCATTTGTGAGTGGGCTGTGTAGTTTGTATGAGTTGTTCAAGGTGTTTATGGGTGTTGTGGGGTGGTTGACTAGATTACGGTGATTTGTTTGTGAATGTTGGTTGTGAAAATTTTTGTGAATGTTGGTTGTGAATTCTTTGTGAATGTTGTTTGTCAATGTGTGACTTGCTTACATCTAGTTGGTGGATCTATGTTCATGACTTGCTGATCATGATTGTTGTGACTTGATTCTCATGACTTTTTGTGTGTGACTTATTGCCTACGACCGAAAATGTGGTTTGCGAAAACAGTGTTATGGTGGTCTTAGCTCATGTTGCATTGTTTGAACGATGCGGGTATAGGCGATCTGCTGGCGCACAGTGTGCCAGTGGAGCCGGGCCAGGGCCTATTCTTTATTTTCTGAAGCTCTGTTTTGGGCGTGGGGCGCGATTTCGGGGTGGCTTCAGGAGCAAGGTACGCAGGACCCGTGATGAAACGGCCCTAGGTAGGCAGGACCCGCGATGGCAGGCCCTAAGCCTTGCAGAGCTGTGGGCAGTCACTCATTTGGCCGTGCCGCCACGCCCCGTGATCTTTACTTTATTCTGGGGGCAATTAGCTTTGGAATTACCAATGCTGTCACTTTGGATGTGTCATGGCGGCATGTGTAAAGAGCCAGGACTGGGGCGGGGGGCTGGGGCCGTCGCCGGAGTTTTTGATCAGTGGCGCGCTTTGATTTGCTGATGCTCTCTTAATCAGTAGGGCCCTATTTATTAGTGGTGGCCTTTTAATCGGCAGTGCGCGGCACTCCAAGTCCACTGCACTTGCATGAACTGTTCAGCTGTTCAGATTCTCGATCGCAGATTCCCGCCCCATCGTTAATTCTCGTTCAGACGCGGATTCTCTCCTTGCTGCGGTCGGTTATTCGCTTCCTCAAGCGCCCTTTATGAATCCCCGCTCCTTGTCAGCAGTCTCTCTGATTTTCGCCACATGTCTGATTTTCCTTCCTTTCCTGTACTCGACCCATTCTTGTTTCAGCATGTGGCCGTCCTTCTGGCCCGCTTGCTGTGGCCCGGCGCGCGGTAAAATATAGCGTCCTGCAGACGCCCGCCTTGGGCCTCTGCTCTAGCCGACGGGCGTGCGCGCAGCCCTGTTTCCGTACAGGCTCACTAATTTAGCCTTCGGACTTTCGGTTTGGGCATCGTGTTTTTAGGACTGGCTGCCTTTGTTTGCGGCTGCCGGTTACCATCAGGCTCTGCCAACACCACCCTGCCAAAAGTGGATTTCCACAGAGTCTCGCGGCTTTTTTTTGTGTCCCCATTAACGCTTCTTGGTCTTCCAATCGTTTCAGGGAACGCAATGAAACGCAATGAAAATGCGTCTCATCGGGGCGCGGCAGATGGCCCGCCTAATGCTCAACATATTCCAAGCTGATGTATGATCAGGTAGCACAGAGATTTCCCATGAAACTCGCGAAAAGGGGGTCTTCACAAAAAGCAGGTACCCAACAGACTTGCACTTTAATCACTGTTCAGAATGGTCTTTCCTTCATCCTGAAGTTTCTGGCTTTTGCTCATTTTGCTCCTGCGTTGCTGAATGTGCTGTCGGCTGAGATCCGCACCAAGCCGAATTGCATCCGGTGATACCGGGTATTTAATACATCAGCGACGTTTTTCCAGTGTTTGGCTGGCTTGAGTCTGCACTAAGGTATTTCTATTTTTGGCTGTTTCTGGAACCATCACCTATTGCAGCTGCCCATTTTGAAGGTTTTTTATGGTTCTTTTTTTGTCTGATTACAGTTTTTCATTTGCATTGCGCTCATCTTCAAGTTCGTGGGGCCGAATCGAGCCCACGCAAAGCCCGCGCACAAAAAGCCACCAAAAGCCTAAACCACGTGACAGCCTTGGTGGCCTCGGAAAATAAACGGGGTTCTCCTTCACTCCGCCGCGTGGCATCCACATTCACTTTTTTCCTCCAAGCCCGGACGCAAGCGTGTGTCACGTGACTGACTCCAAACCATCGTGGGTGGAGCTGCCCATTGCTCGAGCAATTTCAACACTACTCTGACTTTTACGCTTTCACTCGGTATCCCTTTTTTAAGTTCCTTTTTTCTTTATACTTTCCCTTCCACTTCACACTTGCTCCCTCTTTATATTTTCTCTCGCACTCCACTCTTCCCTTTCTCCATATTCGGCCGCTCTTCATATTTTCCTTGTCTCGCCTTCCTACCCTCCGAGTCCCGCGTTCCTCCCGGCCATCCGGGCGTGCCATGCTCAATTTACGTCCAGCGCGGTCGCCTCACAAAAAACAGATTCTCTTCACAACCACTACTCTTTTCTTCTCCATGGGCCTTCCCAGTCGCGTCACCGAAAAACAGTTTTGATTTTCTTGGTTAGATGCTGCTGGCTGGTTTTGCCGGTCTTCCTTCGTGCTGACTGATCGGAACCTAGCATGCTGGCCTGCAGATTAAGTCAAGTTCGGGTGTATCTCCGGGTGATGAGGCAACCTCTGACTCACTCGGTCATAATCCCTAGCATATTTTCGTAAACATGCGTAGAGTATATGTAGCTGGAAGCAATTGTTGTGTTTCGTCCTCTTTGTCTGTCTCGTACCTGAAGTTCCTTGTCCCATGACCAGTGCTGGCCTAGACAGAGATTCAGAACACTGGCTCAAAATAAATGCAGATCTGGGACAATTCCTACATGGGCACCGGATCCAAATCCCCGCCGTCGAGCAGCTGTCATTTTCGTTGGTCGCCATCAGGCTTTTTCTGGAGAAAGTTTCAATTCAATCTACTACAACATTGCCCCATTCAACCAGGTGTCTCGCGCGAAACCAGACGCGGTCGCCTGATAAGCTCATTCTCAGAACCTACCAAGCGATCCCCATCTGCCGTCTTTTCTCGTAAAATGCGTGGCAACTTGATTCTTCTAGAAGGCTTGGACAGGTCGGGCAAATCCACGCAAGCAGAACTCCTCTCGCTGCGGCTCCAGGCCTCCTTGGTGAAATTTCCAGACCGGTCCACGCCGGTTGGAAAACTCATCAACGAATATTTGACGAATCTGGACTTCCATCTCTCGGACGAGACCGCCCATCTCCTTTTTAGTGCGAACAGGTGGGAATTGGCCTCGTCTTTGGAAGAAAAACTACAACAGGGCACCACCGTGGTCATGGACAGGTACGTGTACTCGGGCATAGCGTATTCGCTTGCCAAGGAAAATCTGAGGGGCCGTGAATGGCTATCTAGTCCAGACCGCGGGTTGCCCAAGCCGGACTTGACTATGTTCTTGACCATTCTGATGGACGAGTTGGCGCTGCGAAAGAACTGGGGTCAGGAGCGGTATGAGAAAACGGCGTTCCAGCAGAAGGTCAGGGAATGTTTCATGGACATCTTGCGGCCCGAGGAAGACCCCACTGTTGAAATTGTGGATGTGGGGCATCTTCTGATCGAGCAAGTCACGCACAAGTTGTGGCAGCTAATCGTACAGAGGAACCTTGATGTGCCCTCCAGTCAGGCATTGGCGAGGCTCAGTTGAGTATGTGCTGTCTGCGGTCCATTGCTGGAATATTAGACAGCCATGGTGTTTATTGTGGCAGACTCTGCCATAGTATCTATTCTGTCGTGGCAGACACAGTCTTTGTATATATTCATTCATGGCAGACACTGTCATAGTATCTATTCTTTCGTGGTAGACACAGTCCTTGAACGATATTTTGGTTGCACTGTCAATCATATTCTTTTTGTGGCAGACAAAGCCATTAAATCCATTCTTCTCGTGATGGAGAGTCCTGTTCAAGCTCTGGAAGCCCTTGTCCTTCCTGATTCCCGAACCCATCGCCTTGATTCACTGGAACCCCTACAAAGCTAGCTTAATTTTTGAAAGCATTCTAGGCCGAGATCTCGTCGATGTGCTCGAGCCGCTGCAAGACTCTTGTTTTCAGGGTCTCCAAGAGCTCGCCCCCTAGAAACACCTCGTCGATCACGGTATACAACTTGTAGAAGTTGAACACCAAATCGAGCTCACACACATTGTCGAAGTACGTGTCCAAGATCTCGACAAAAAAGTGGATGTACTCCAAATAACTGAGCTCGTTGTCGATGAAGTCGATCAGCACTATGAAGTAGAGCCCCGCATACCGTCTATAGACCAACTTGTTCTCGCGTAATTCGACGAAATTGCTCTGGTGCTTCAGGTCCCGTGTTGACACAAGCCGGTGCACCTCGTTGACTGTCTCCTGTTTGTGTGCTTCTGTGTGTATGTTGTTGTACCATTTGGCGAGCCGGGTTTTGCCTTGACGGTTGAGTATTAGAACGTAGTGAATCATGGTGGCAATGGAATGTGTGAAGAGTCAGATGCGTTGGGCAAATGACCAGAAAAGTTTTTTTTATTAGGTTGTGTTTGGATGTTGTTTTTGTGGTGTGCTTAGATGTTGTTTTGTTGGTGTGATTGGATGTTGGTCTTATGGTGTGCTTAAATGGGATGCTAGAATGGGGTGCTTAAATGGGGTGCTTGGCAGATTACAACGATTGTTCTTCAATGTATCTTGCTCCAAGCTTATACGATTGACGTCTTGGTGCAAAATGAACCAGCTGATTATATCCCCAGATCTGTAAGTTTAAAACGCAAGGTTGTTCTTATGATTTCCCTCGATTAGTCTTGCACGATTTCAGTAGCGACATTTAGGGCCGAGCTCTCAGTGCCGTACCAATGCTATGCGTCGAGCTAATAATTGGCACCTCACAAAACTGGCATCTCCATATTTCTCTAGCCCCTTAAGATACTTCACCAATGATCAACTGCTATTGACGATGTCAAAAAAACCGAAAAAAAAAATTAACCAAACACTCACCGTCTGTGGCCTTCTCCCCCATCTATAACCAGGCCCTAAGGGCGGAGCCAGCTGGCCCTAAATTGTGCGCGACCGGGCCTGCCCCAGACTTTGGAGTTCGGTCCGCCTCAGTAATCTACATCCCAAGAAACAGACAAAAGTAGAGGCAGTTAGACTGAACCCCACCTTGTATTTCTAGTTCAGAAAAATTAGAAAAGTGTGTTCTGGTGTTTAATCCAACTCCTCAAAAATGGAATCGATGGAAGAGCCTTTCAAACAATATGAGATCAGAGAAGGTATAGTTTTCCTATTAGAGCTCTCCGACGCCATCTACACGCCAATCCGCCGGCTCAAAAACCAGACCCAGATCGGCGAAATCTTGTCTTGTATCAATGACTTGCTCTCGGAAATGGTCATCACCTTCCCGAACAATGGCGTGGGGATCTATCTCTACAATTGTAGCACCACAGGCTCGAAGTATGCCAAGAACTCGGGCCTCAACAAGATCTTTTCGCTAAACGATCTCAACAGTTCCAATATGAAATTGCTCATTAATACGATGAAGGATGACGCCCATGGCGGTCACCCGCTCAAGCAGCGTTTCCGGCCTGTCGACAAGCCCGGTGATAATCTACATACGGTGCTCAAGACCGTGCTCCGGGAGTTTCAACGAAAGCCCCAATACAACCGCAAAAAGTTGTTTTGGTTCACCAACAACGATAGGCCATACATCAACGAGAAGTTGAAAGACAGCTTGCGCACAATGATCAGCGATTTCGAGGATAACCAGATCCACGTGACTCCGCTATTCTTGGACACCTTTACTGACAACGAACAGCACCGGCCAAAGCCTTTCGACGCGTCCTTATACCAAAACATTTTTCTCAATACAAATTATTTGAGACCTGCCGAGTCGCTAGATCCGGATGCCGAGTTTGGTGCAAAGAAAGATCCCATGCGATGGCTGAAAACAACTGTGTCCTCGCAAATCCGAGATTCCATTTTCCGGCTCAAGGAAGTGAAGCGCGTCCAGTTTTCCTGTGATTTGGTTCTCAGTGACGGGCCCGAAATCGGTGGGCGGCTCGGCTGCTCTGTCAAGGGATACACCTTGTATAATCACGAGCAAATCAGGCTGTTCAAAAAGGTAAGCACCGAAAGTGGCGAGATAAGAATGGCTCACACCGACACCAAGCGCCTCAAAAGCGGTACAACAAAGGAACTCGACCCCCACAACCTTGAGAGCAACATGGCCATATATAAGGGCGTTCCGGTGAAGTTTTCCAATGACGAGTCCGAACCTCAGGAGAAGATCTTGCTTTTAAAACCGGAGGTACTTGATTTCATGGGCAGGTATTCTTTTGATCACATTCCAAAGGATTACAAGCAAGAGATTGATGGCGAGGCCAGTGTTGGGGACTGTGACGACGAGACTACCGGGGAGCAAGTCGAGTTTTCCAACGCCCCGTACTTGAAACTCTTGTGCTTCAGAAAATTGCGGAAGTTTCAGCCCTATTTCAACATGAAACCTCCGCTGTTTGTGGCAGCGGACTTGAATGATGGTTTGAGCGGGTCGCTGACCCAGGGCGGCTACTCAAATTCGTTCGACACCTTCAAGACATTGTACCAATCTTGTGTACGGCTCAAGAAGTATGCCATTCTTTTTGGCTGCACGAAAAGGACATCCAACCCAAACTTATACGCCCTTTATCCCACAAACATCTCCGGGGAGTCAACCAGCAAGACGCCCGACGGATTTCTCCTATTCAATCTCCCATGGTTGAGTGAAATCCGAAGTCTACCGGACCACATGTTGACTAATGATGGGGGAAAGTTTATTCCAGAGCACGAGGATCTTAAGCCCACACAGCTCGTCACCTTGTACGGAAAGCTCGTGGACCATATCCAACCATGGGCTGGCTATGAACCGAGCGCCTATGAGAACCCGACTTTGCATTATTTCTACAAAACAATAAAGCAGGAAGCGTTGCAGTTGGATACTGAGCATGAGGACCTGAGTCTACAAGCAAACGATTGGAGTGTCCGTGAGCTTCTAAAATTCCGTAAGAATATAGACGCGGAGAGAGATGTTCAGAGCACGTTCCGATTTCTCAACCAGGTGTTGGGAAAAATTGATAAGCAATATTCGACCAAGCGTGAGGCTGATGCTGAGACGTCTGCTTCGAAGAAACGAAAGGTCGAAAGTTTGAGTGAGGCTGCTGTGATCACCGTCTGGAAGAACGATACCTGGAAAAATGTGAGAGTGGATCAGCTTCGCGAGTTCATGAACCGATATGACGGGATTAAGAAGGCTTCCCGCAAAACCGACATGATCGCCAACATCATCGAATTTCTAGAAAGCAAGCGCAGGTAAGCAATGTAGTGTTGAGTTAGCTAAAGTGCGTCTTGAGATATGCTAGACATGGTGTTTTGAGCATCCACGGATGGGCAATGTGGGAACGAAACGATTTGGTATTACGCTTGAAAGAATAGCACTATTATTGCCTATGGGTGTATTTTATTAGGCTGAGAGAATGTGATATCGAACTAAAAGAGCCGTGGCATTCGACTGAGAACTGTGATACTCATTGACTGTGGAACTACGTGGTGGAAAGAACCGTAATCTTAAACATTAAAAAAAAAAGAACTGGGACTAACCGAGGAAAAAAATATCGAAAACTTTCGGGGAACGTCTGGCATATTTCGCCGTGAAGGGAACTGTGATGTGACAATGCAAGCAGATCTTTGACATTCCAACAAGATAAAAAAAACCACCACAACAAAGCCACGCTGTTATATTAGTTATTATATGTGACGCAAAAGAAAGCCTATTTTTAACAATGCCCTTAACCCCGGTGAATTTGCTGTGTGCCACGAAAATATCCGTCCGTTTAAAATAAACGTGACAGTCAAAATTGCACCTTCATTCGAAGTGCTCTGCTGCAGGGCCAAGCTATTTCACTGCGCCAAGCGTCTGGGGCAAAAAAGCCTCAGTCAAGGCTCAGAAAAAAACATAAGGCCGCCACCACACCTTTTCATTCCAGAAACACTCAGAATATTCGCGCCAACAGCCGCCACAATGTCTGTCGACTCCTGGATACAGCCAATCAGAACCGAACCAAAGACATTAGTAATCTGGGTCTAGAGCGTGCGGCTCTGGAACCGGGCCATTTTCGAAGCTCCCCACCCAGCAACCAAATTGCCGCGAATCCTCAGTATCTGCAGAACCGATTCCGTTGACTATACGCCGATAGAGGAGCGCTCGGGACTTATCGGCACAAGCAATTAAGGCAAATGCTCACCAACTCCTGATCCCTGAGATCAGGTAAACTGCGTCTCCAGTATTGGCCTCTTGTGCAATGAAAAATACAACAAGAGATAAAGAAGTAGACCAGAGAGTGTTTTCTCAGGCCGCCGATTTTGCTCACGGCTATTTTCCCGCATTTCATTCCGGTGGTCACGGGCTATCGCTTACTTCCGCGCGTATCTCCAAGTACCCCGGCGAAGTTGCGCTTACGTCAAACGTAGCGGTGATCGCGGTGCGTCACTTTGCATCAATTTCGCATATAAAGCGAAATACGAGCCGGCGAGCTGCTTCCACTTGCTATTGCCCTTTTGCTCAGCTCTCTTTTTTTCTTTAACTGTTTTTAATTTTTGCGTCCTGGATCGCCTATCTGACTCGTCCTAATCGAGCCCCTTTCCAGATCCAATACTTGAAGGCGCTACTCAATTTATTCACGTCCTAGCTAGGCCCCATACTTGGAGGTGCTACTCATCACACAGCTTCTCGGCATCGATAAAAATGCAGCGGGTGGAAACCCCCTTTGTCCCAGGAAACCCTCCCATAGAAGGCCTACCTCCTTACAAAGACGACATTCCGGCGTACACGCCGTCTCTCCAGTTCTATGGCATTGCGCTTTTGAAAATGGAGTTCGACACACCATGGAGCGACCGCAGCACACTGTTAAAGCCTGTGGTGGTGGAGCTCAACAGCAACCAGCTCAACATGTACGAATTTGCAGCAGACAAAACGACCGTCGGCGTCGTGGGCTCGTTGTTCAAGCATCAGAACTATGCTGATGCGTCGCAAGAACCGCCGGCAGCAGACTACACCGAGCTGTACTTTTTCGATTGCGACGCATACGGCGACAGTTCTGCGCCGGAGGCGCCCAAGCCCATGTTCTCTAAACTCCGCAACTGCTTGGACAAAAAGAAAACGCAGCGGGTATTGAGCGCGTCACTTTCGCCCGGTATGTGCCTAAACAAGTTGCTTCTTGAGCCCACTTCTGACAGGGCGGTATACGACCAGTTTGCTGCCATTTATAGGGGAAAGCTCATACACAGTTATACGCTAGCGCACCTAAACGTGGGCGAGGCCCCTTGCTTGACGCTGGCTCGTTACAAGGAGGAGAAAAGGCACTCGGCCAATGCCATGACTTTGGTCAACTATCGAAACACGCTCCGCCTCCGCATCGAGTACACGCAGCTCCTCCTCCACTTCTGGTCGTTCCATGGAATGGTGCACTGGTTCCGCAACATGAGTGTGGGCCGTGACTTGGCCTCATCCATCGACGACCGGAAATTGACGGTGCTTAAGTCGGTGCCCCGCAACTTCTCTGTGGCGAACAATGCGTTGCTCGAGGCCTCGGCCCGCGAGGCTCTCACGTTTAATCCCGATACGTGCAAGATGGTGCACCGAGACTCCATTTCGTCGGCAGAGGACCGTGCCAGTTGCTTTAGTGAATATACCATGGGATCGGGTGAAAGCGGGGCCTCGAGCGTTGCCTCCGCATGTTCCGAGTCGTGCAAGAATCTGACGGTCGATATATACGGGGCCAAGCTCACATGCTTCGAGAACATGTACACGCCCATCGAGAAGCAGTACATTTCGAAATGTATCCCTGTGTTGAACTCGTTTGACAAATGGATGGGAGCTAAGATCACCATCTCCAACTACGAGCACTTCGTGCCAAGACTGACGCGGGACAACTGCAATGAAAACGAGAATGTGTTTATCTCGCACTACAAATTCTCTGATTTGGTGAAGACCTACAACAGGAACCCAGCGGCGACCAGTGGGCCGCGCCGGTGCCGCGATTTCTACGTCGATTCCGCGGGTCTCGTTAGTATCTAGACATTGGCCATTTGTATTGGATCAGGCCCCTATCCAAGCAACGATCGGTGCAGCGGTTCGCAGCAGAAGAAGCCTTCCATGAAAACATGAGTGAATGAAAGTATGGTACATAAGAATTACAGTGCCTGCAAACGAAGTAAAGAGCCAGCCACTAGCACATTGCCGTGTCGTCGGAGAAGTCCTCGCTTTCCTCCATTCCCAAGTAATGTTCTTGCTCCTGAGCATACTGTTGCGTGGGTCTCTGCCCACTTTCTCTAGGCTGGCCGTAGCCTTCCACCACGTAGAGCTCGGCCTCGTTTGTGGGGCTGAAATTGAGTTTATCTCCGTATGCTGGCGAGGAGCAGCCAGAAGCCGACGTGTGCAAGGACATAGGCGTGGTGGGCAATTCGTAGCACTGGTTGTTGGTGTTTGAAGGCGACATTTCAAACGACACTTCCTGGAACGACGCGTCCTCAAACTTCGTTTTTGCATATCCCGTGGCTGGATCTATCCACTGTCTTAGAGCACCCCACGGGGTGATTTTGACTGTGCCGCCATCCGGGTGGTTGTACATGGGCCATTCGTTATTCTGGCTTAGCATTTCTCGCTCTTTGTCACCAAATGCCGCCTTGGGCTTTTTTTGGTCAGGCTCGGTGTCTCTTTTTCTCTTGGGAACAAAACTCATGGTGAAATTCTTCAGACGCTTGCAAAACCTGGGGTTGGGAATGCGTACTACTTGGAGTCTAATTGGCTCTATGGCAAAATGGACCAAAGGGCGTGGACGAATAATGAATTTTTTGCCAGATGCAAGTATAAAAAAGCTGCTTTATTCCGTGTTTTACCAATGAATTAGGTTTAAACGAACGAAATATATGTGGACGGCAGTTTTTTTTTGGTTCCAAGTAAGAACTCGTGTGCGGTGAAATGAGCTGCTTGAAGGTCGACCAGTGAGAAAGTCAAATGAGACTAATTGTTCAGCTTCAAGATCAGTTTTTTATAACTTTAGGTCCGCCGGGTAATTGAGCGGATTCAACACAAAACAGAAGCTTCAGGAAAAAAAGGCAAAAAAACGACTGAAAACACAATTTTTGGAATGGGTGAGAAGAAGCAGCTGGCTACTTTTCAAAGCGGAAATTATGACTGCAACGAAAGAACAAGAGGCGACAAAGAAAAAAAAAGTGAGTGCGGAAAAAAATCTCTCTCGCGTTAAAAGCGGTACGCGTTTTCCCCCGCAAAAAAAGAAATCAAAAAGGAAGATGATTCTGCCCAGGATCGAACTGGGGACTTTCTGCGTGTAAAGCAGACGCCATAACCAACTAGACCACAGAACCTGTCTTCAAAATTTTCAGATGGGCATAAAATAAACACGTATTAATCTAACATTTTTATGCGTCAAATCATCTATATTTTCACGTTTTCCAGCGTTAATCGTGTCAAACACATCAACATTCTCAAATAAGAATGTGGCACCACTTTAAACCCTCATGGTACGTAGCTGGGACCCAGCAGACAACTCATTGGAGAACTTAACAAAATTAAATTGGTTCGTCACCACGATCTTCAAGGTCTACACCAGAAGGCGTGGCGAGTCGCAGGAAGTGGGATCCTTAAGTCCGCTACAACCAGCTGAGTTGAAGCGACTACTAAAGGAGACCTATCCTAGGAGTCGATGACGTAATATCCCATACGTAAACAGATACGTGCCATGAGGACTGTCCAGGCCGTGACTAACGGAAGGGGACGGGCCGAGCTAAGACACTTGGTACGTAGCTGGGAGCTGTTTAAAGGTTTTTTATATATATTCGTTATATAGTTTTGCCCCTTTAATCGGATGAATCTACCAAAAAAAAACAAAATATGAGACACCCGAATACTGGGTGCAAGAGCTTAACTTCGCCAAGCCCTTGAGTTTAAATGAATATACATATACGGGCCAAGAGGATTGGTTCAGGCCGTGGTTCAAAAGAGGGAACAAGTCGGTTTTTGACACTGGGCACGTGAACTGTTCAAATGTTTTTGATTTTCAAGTTCTTTTCCTTCTATTAGATGTAATCGCCAAGAAAATGTACAATTTGTGACCAATTAAAGAGGCCGAGCATAATAACACATTTGGAAGCTGCTTGAAGGGTATTAAATATGTTTTCAAACGGATAGGATGACCAGAATAAGAACCAAAAAAGGCAAGAGTCAAATCAGCTACTGCTTGAGAGTATGGTCTGCGATCATTAGATCTGTGCCGCTGTTTTATTCTTCCGATTGAATGAACATCGATATTTTTTACTTTGCTCCTGTACCCAAGTACCCACTTTTTTTTGGTAAATTCTTCTGATAAAAGGAGCAAAACTATATAAATAATACATATAAAAAACGTTTAAACAGCTCCCAAGGTAGAGTCCATCGAGATATATTGGAAGTTTCAAGCGACGACTAATTGTAACAGCCTTGGTAGTGGGTCTCGTTGTGGAGACACCCTTTCAAAAAAATATTAAACCATAAATTTTAGAAAGGCCTTAAGCTTTTGTTTTGTTCCATGATGTCATTCTTCTAAGCATCAAATTTAAATGATTATACCAAATTCTCGGTGGAAGTGCATCTTATATGACCTTGGTGTCAGAGAAAACATGCTAAAAGTTTTCTTTAGGAATATCAAGGCTTTACTTCCGGATTTGTCCTAGTGATGAAATAACCACGTATTCCAGCTTCGCCAAACAATAAGAAAGTCCTGAATCTTTTGATTTTATTTTTCAAAATAAGAAGACAAACCCTTACGAGTGTTCATATTCGGAAAATAAAACAATCCGTATTATTTTTATTCAAGTAATTCTGTCGTCACTCATGCGTTTCAGACAGTTGAAAACTTTTCGAAATGCAACCGCATGGTTTGACTTTTTCGCTGGTACACAGTTTCAATATTTCTGGATAAAGATCCCATCACAGCTTTGGAATCACACTGAATCTAGCGCGAATAAAAATGTATCATAAGAAAATCATATCATCGTCATCATCAGCAAATTGAGGATATTCCCAACACAGCTTCTTATCACGTATACGGTCCCGACCTTAAATGATGCGAGCATTTTTTTTTGGGTTCAAGGCATCATACATTATAACTATTTTTTCTTGCATACGAATTTCTGCGAACTTTAACTTTACTGATGAGGAAAATATCAACCGCTTTGCAAGATCAAATCAAAAACAGCTCAAGTTCGTAGCATATGGTGTTTGAAGATTACGACAGCAGCAAGAAATCTATAGGTCACAGTATGGTTCATGACGCCTGCATTCAAAACTACAAAGTAAGGTAGACTTCTCCGCTATTTCCGAGAGAACCCCACACAAGTCACGCAACATTCATGAAAACGATTTCAAGCTTCTCCGGGTCGGCTCGTATATCCACTTTTCAATTCGATCCACGTTTCATTTCCATATAAAAATTCGGCGCACAAGAAGACTACAAAAATGCTTACGCGGGTAGCCTGTTAAATTGTTTGCCAAAGGTGATTCGTTAACAATACCATGTTTTTCTACTTGGCCTCGGAGATAGGTACATGTTATATGCAGATTGCTGAAATTTGTGCGGCTGGGAGAACAGATTCTATTCGAGACTCGCTTGTGGGGGATGGTGGCATTGGATTCAGCAGCCATTGTAGTTTCTGAACGGAGAAATTAGTACTGGTGGCTAAATTGTACAATATTAAAACTTTTGGGGTTCAAAATTGCTCAGTTCATCGTCTTGAGACGTATGCCACTCGGCTCGGCTCGGCGCGTCCAAGCCGCTTCCAGTTAATTCTCGCAAGTTTTATGCTAACCAGATGATAAGCGTTTTAAAAATTTATAAAGCTTTCAGAATTGCTTGCTGCCTTGTTCCTCCGCTGTAGAACCGCTGCTGATATCCAGTTGATCCTACTTTCTCTGGTGCCACAAAAAAACTTAGGTGCGGCAAATTTCTGCGGGAGACGTGAAGTAATGACTTGTGCTTCTCTTTGTATGCCTGTTAGGTTAGTTGGCTTTAAAACTTTCCCGTACGATCCACCTCAAAGCAAAAGCATCAAAAGATCTGAGGACAAAAATATTCTAGTGGTCCCTGCCACAGTCTAGAATTTGGCAGAATCTTCAAGAAACTCTTGCTCGAAAGTCTAATTTAGAAACTCTCGTTCTGCAGGCAGTGGAGCACTCAGCGATACGTCTGAGCTATTTACATGAAAAAGCCAGTGTTGCATGCGTATCGTCCTGCATGTGTCTGGGCCCACTGTTCACAGCAGTCACGAGTTAACGGTCTGAACCCCACAATTCCCCACGCCGCATGAGCTCCACTCCTGTCCTTACCTGCTCTGCGGCACAACTCCAGTGTAACATGATCTTTTGTTTCCTCGGTGCTAGCCACCTTTTCGAAACCATACCTTTAAACTTCTCTCACTGGCTTTTCTTGCTCTTCATTCTGCTGCATGTACTATGGAGCCATGGCGCGCCCACGCAGTTGGCCGCATTGTGCTTGAACGTTGCATGGCTAATGAACTTGAACAGTGGAACGTTACCGAAATTATACATAGTAGTTTTTATTAAGTTAATGGCGTGACTTTTCTTGGCTGGAGAAAAGCTCAGGTAATACCTTGTATCAAGCAAATGTGCAACGTTCGATTTACGTCGGGCAATTTAACTTTTCTTAACAAGGCCAGGAATCAATGCGAAAACCGAAAATTCCTCATTTAGACCCAAAAGACTTTAGACTATTATTAAACCGGCCAAGTTTCAGGTCAAAAAGTAAAGGTAGAGGTGGCCAAAGCCACACAGGCTTTTTACACAGATGGCTACAGTATGGTATGAAGTACTTGGCAGCAAGCTTACGAGATGTACCCAGAGCCCCAAACGCGGAGCGGTGTTCTACCTGGCTCGGCCGAAGCCTGCATATTCTCGTATATGTCTCTGCTTAAATGCCAACAGAATCTCACCAGTCCTGGTGCCCCTGCCCTCCACAAACCGTTGTATTTTCCATGTAGGAAAACGGAGGAGTAATTGCAGGGCATTCATGGAAACGAACACATATATTCTCCCCATTCGCAGGTCCGGCGTTTGCTGTCGCTATATCCTCACTTTTAAGCTATGCACCATCGGCCTGCAGATTCAGGCATCTCGCATTGTTTCCGAGCCGACTTCCGTATTTGCTGCTCCAATGAAAGGGCAGAAGGGTCAAGCGCTCGTGCTTGCTGTTATCCACCGAAGTATATAGTATGCGGCAGAACTGCAACAAAGAATAACACCACGGCGTGTACTTTTTCAGACCCTGCCTATATCTAAAGCACGGAGTTTTTCCCACCAGCCCATCAACCAACGTCACTGCGGAAAATTCTCGAGAACGCTCAAGGTGTGTTCGAAATTGTCTGCCACACCCAGCTCAACGCTTGAAACGAATCCCAGAAAAAAACACTGTCTTGACTTTGGCCCAAGGTCCGGACTCATTTCAGAAAAACGGCATCAATTCGCGAGGCAGACGTTGCTTGTGAACACCAGGCCCGAAATCACGCAAATAAAATCCCTCGCGGCTTCCGTGCGGCTTCCGTGGATGCATTACTAATAAGTCGGACATCCCAGATCCCGGATATAGTGACCTCCATCCGGAGCAAACACATTTTTCAAACTTATCGTTAAGCATTTTTTTTTTAGTCCTCCCCATCCGGGCCCGCCATCAAACACCCTACTAATACATGACCAGATGTCTGTATCCTCCCCCGACGAACAGCACCATCACCGCAAAAAAAGAGTCGGCAAGGCTTGCGACCTGTGCCGCATCAAGAAAACCAAATGTGACGGCAAAAAGCCTTGCACGCGCTGCGTCGCCGACAACCAGCTCTGTGCGTTCAGCGAGAAACGAAAACCGAAGGAGAAGGCCCATCCCGCGGGATACATCGAATTGCTCGAAGCCAGAATCGACTTTCTCACGCGGTCCTTGCAGAAAGTGATCACCATGGCCGAACCGCACCTCCCATTTCTCCAGCAAATAATGGAGCAGGCCCGGCTAGAACACTCGCAATCGGCGCCGCTGTGCTCGGACGACTCGCCGCTGCCCAGCGCCATCCCCATAAACGAGGTGGTCAACTTCCTAATATCGGACCCGGATTTTATGCCCGGCCAGCTGCCTGAGACAATGCACCGCGCAGACGCAGCTGCGAACACGCCGTCTGCAAAATTAGCACCGGGGCCAGCCATAAAAGACGAGTTCCCAGGAAACTCGCCCAGAAACGAGGTTTTGTTTCTGGACCCCACCAGTGATGGCGTAGACAATTTGGGCCAGCAGTACGACTTGGTGTCGGCCCTCAATTCCGGGACACCGGCTGCTCATTTAATGCGTTTGCCTGGAGGCTCATCTGCCTTGGACTCTAGGTCTCTTTTCCACAGACACGGCAGCCTGCCGCCGAGCAGGTCCAGCTCGTCGCACCTGCTCTTGTCAAGTGCCAACGAGCCGTTTTCCGGACTTCCGGCCAGCAGCGCCAGCCTTATCTCCGGGAGAGGCCTGCACCACGAGGCAGTTCCAAACGGCGGAGCTCCTTTGAACTCGCCTCCGCCCGAGACGCTGGCCTCGGAACTCGCCTCTCTCGATTCAATCGACCATTTCTCCCAGTACGCCCTGCGGTCGAGCCTGCTCTTCCTCAACAATGGGGGGACCGTGTGCACGTCGCCTCTGTCGGTGTCGTCTCTCTCAATAAAGCTCGAAAGCCAGAACTTCAACGACCTGGCCCGCCACAGCCTCCGGCGGCTGCACTCGGGCAAGGCGCACGTGTCTGCGGCGTCGATAAAAAAGAAAAACAGTGGCCACGTGCACAAGCCCCAGTCGGTGTCACACTCGCCGCAGATTGGTTCTGCCAATATTCTGCCGAGCGCAGCCAGCCGCCAGGAACCGGGCCCTGCCTTCCCGGCCCTGGTGTATCCGTACCTCCAAACGGCGCTGCCGGACCTGGGGCTGTTCGGGTTTGAAAACGACCACTTATTCGACGAGCCTCCGTCCAAAGTCATCGCGGACGGGCTCCCTTCATTCCTCGCCCTGGACGACCTCGGCATGACGAACCCCTTCATGAGCCCGTACACGTGACCGCAGAAGCGGGCGTGGCGGCATTTTTCTTCGTGTGTACTTTATATTCCAAGGTTTAATTTTATGGATTTGTTGTTTGCGGCGTGCTTTTGGCACCTCCAGAACTCTTGAAGGAATACGTGCTGGGGCTGTCACCTTGACTATAGCCGGAACCGTTGAAGCTGTTGCAGTGGATATTGCGATGCTAGAATGATTGTCTGACTTGAGTCTCGTGCCATCACTGCCGGACTATGCCGCCATCATACTATTATTACAACTATTGCATTATAACTAGATGATCAAAAGTCATGCCATCATCAGTGCCCCAATAGTACCACCACTTAACTACTGAACCAAAGCTAAAGCTAAGTTTAACTACTGAGCTAAAGCTAAAGCTAAGTTTAACTACTGAACTAAAGCATCAAAACTCATGCCATCATCAGTGCCCCAATAGTACCACCACTTAACTACTGTACTGAAGCTAAAGCTAAGTTTAACCACTGAACTAAAGCTAAACCATCAACACTCATGCCATCATCAGGGTCAGAACCATCCCCACAATCATACGATCACTATATCTATAACCAGAACTACTGCTGGACCGAGATCAGTAGAAGTATTGCCACGACATTGCCAGCACATGGCTCAACGCACCGGTCACGACATCCAGCTCTGGCCTAGTTCCTCTATTCATATGTCGCCTTGACCACCACCGGAATCATGCCGCCCGTGCCAATGGCAAAGGCCCGGTGCCCCAAGACCAACAACTGCGTGCGGATCGAGCCCGAATGGGAAGTCACACTGATGAAGTCGTCTGTGTGCTTGTCCGTGGTGCTGAATATGTGCTGGAACGCCCGTTCCTGGCGGATGGCCTGCTCCCACACCTTCTCTCTATAATCGTCTTTAAAAAGCTCGTCCTCTTCTGCAAAGCCGTCTTCTATGATGAAGCCCCTGTCGAGGTATCTCTCCACAATGACGCGGCGGGGCGACCGCTTGTCACAGGTGTGTACGCCGAGTGTTTCCCGGAGATCCTCCATGATAAAAGGCTGTGCCTTCTGCAAATCTACATGGCCTTCCCAGGTGCCGATCAACGTGTCCAACGACCGGCGGAACGGCGACGAAAACCACCGTGTGGGCAAGTGCAAGCCCTGCTGGATTTCCGCTTGCAACTGCTTGTGATTGTCCTTGGCCTGCGAGTGCCCGAGATCCGTGAGTTCAGGGTCTGGGCCCCACACGATCTTGCCGTCCGTGGTGAGGTGCAGCCATTTGGCGTTCCACTGCTCGTCGCCATAGATGAGATTGGCCAAGTTGTGGAATCCTTGTCCGTGGCGGCCCAAAAGAAGCAACTTGTAGGCGACATGCTGCGGGCTGTTTTGATTGAGCTCTCTGAGCTCACTGGCAAGCTGTGGCCAGGGCTTCAATTTGCCAAAGCCCTCTTTGAAATAGTCAAACGTGGTCTCGTCCGTTTCGGGCAACAGCTGCTTGAAACAGCCCGGGACGATCTCAAACTTCCAGCGAGGCCCGGTTTCGAGGCTCTGGGCACAGGCATACTGCTCCCTGTCTTCGCTGTTGATTGACGAGTTGTGCACGTCGATGGCATCCGGCTTGGTGGACATTTTGGATGCGTGAGTAAAAGCAAATCTGAGAGTGAGAACAAGGGCTACAAGAGGCTGTCTATACAATTTTGATAGGTGGCGCCTGGATGTGAATGGCACGGGTGTGGATTTGTAATTTGGGCCGGTGAGCGTGCGCCCGCCTGATCTTGAATGGCCCGTATGGCGAAATACGAGGAGCACGTGCCACGTCTATCCTATGTGCAGTATCCTGAAGTGGACACGTCGCTAAGCCATACTTTGTTTGCACCACGACTAGAATTAGAGAGGCCTTTTAAGGGATCAGAAATCAGATTTGCATCATAGCTCATTTTTTCGATGTGTTTCTTGTCGGTATATAGGCTTCGAACAATTGTGTGGGTGCCTTGGGCGGCTTAGCTGTTCCCAGATATCATCCGTCTCTCTTGTTTGTCACTCCTTTTTACACGAAAGGCTAATATGGCCCAGGAGAAGGAGCTTGGTGTATGAAAGTTGAAGTGAGCACGGGAACGTTTGTGTCTGTGCGTACAGCTGGTCTCTCAGATCTAGCAAGCATCCCCATCGGCACTATATTGGTAAACTATATCGCCACAGTGATGTATATGTTTGCTTGAACGGTCAGAAAAATAATGGCTTGAAATCCAAGCAAGGGCTTATCTCGGTGCTCTGAAACGATAGTGACATTGCCAGAGAGAAGCCTAAAGTCGTACAATAACGCATGCTCATACCCCAGTCGTGATCATGTGAGTAGAGGATATGAATTCTATGTAAAACAAATCATCAATCAACCAGTCTGTGGCCCCTGAAAATTGCCTCTAAGTATAGCAAGGCTTCCAAGGTTGGACATTAGAACTAGCATTTTGCAATAGTGGTGACTCATCTCAATTTCTGGAACCATATTGCAATGCCTTACTTGTACTATTTGATTCCCCCTATCCTTAGGCCAGTTTGGAGATGTAGTTCTCTGAAAAAGTAGTTTCTGACTTGAGAATAGGACCTGGAGGGCATCACCATCGAAAGGGCTTAGTATTAGAATATGAAAAATCAATATACGATCAAGGCTAAATGGTCAAAAGATTCAATGGAAAAGTGAGCTGTAATCGCATCGGTATTCTGTGAGTCTATGCTAATGAATGAGGAAGGTTGGGATGACTCAGAGGCCAGAAATATTTTTCGAAACATGCTGAATGTGTTTTCAATCAAGACGGACCAAACTTCAAGAATTTAGCAATAAGACATTCAAATAACTTTGTGTCTTGCCATTTCAAGTGAAGAATGAGAACCTTTATCGGTATGGAAATGGATTTTTGGACATGAAGATGTACCTGAATAAAGCTCATATCTTCAACATTTGCCGACTAATTCAGTATTCGGGGACTAAGAACAGAGAAAAGGTATTTCATATGAGCCCTTTTTCAGTTGTATATAGATATAATTTGGACGACTAGCCTAGACGGGCGAGAATAGAAACAGGCTCGGTTTGCTTTTCTAAAAGCAATTTTTGGAATCAATATGGAATTCTATATTAATACTTTTCAATTTATGGCATGAAGTCTCAAATCTAAAAAAAGAGACACCCTAAGACTGCACTAACTTAACCGTCGTATCATGAGCCATACGGAAAGTCAATAGACCGAATTCCTATTTTTAGCACGAAACCGATTAATAGATAATCAACTGCTTCTTTTCAAGGATATAAACTATTAGAAAGTTCGAATATTGGGGTAGCTGATGCCTTCTTGGAGTCTGGTTTGGTATTATCTGCTTATAAGTGTGATTCAGCACCAAGAAAATCAAGAAAGAACCCCAAGCCAATTTCAATTCCCCTTGCAAACTACATTTAGGAAAATTATACTCAAAGTACGCCCAAATCACAGCTGCATAAAAAATTCGGTATAGATAAAAGAGACACGGATTGCTTTGAGAAATCTAAGCTTCGTCCGAAAGTATTATGCTAACAGACAAAAGGTTTTACTAAACAACTGTGATTAATTAAAAAAAACACGTGTCTGGTAAAGGAAATGAAGATTGAATTTGCTAGACTCATGTTTGAAAATCACGCGATAAAGTTGCGGGCTTGAAACCCTCATTCGAAACCAGCCCGTCAGATGAAAGCATAGTCATCATCTCTCAAATGAGCCCGCTTTATTTATTGCTGTGTAGTGAGGGAATTTTAAATATATGCTTTGATACATTAGTGCCGCATCGGCAAACATCAATGTGGATGTCTTCTCTTGTGATAAGGCGACAAGCCTTGGTAGGATGTTTCTTTTTCTATTGTGCCTTGACTTCCAAAGGTGATGTAATCGAAAAAGCTGAGAGTACTTTCAGGTTTTGTTCACATGAGCTAGAGACAGTAGTCGGGGTAATACTCAGAAATGTGTTCAGAGGCATACGTGGAGAAAGACCTAGGCTTAACTGAAGGCAACTAGAATCATAGCCTGATGCAGTACTTGGAATCTTAATTGCGCATGATGAATTAATAAAGAACCCAATGAGAGCCATGATCAGGGCAGCAGATCAAGATGATGTAGTGAAGCATGAAACCAGGGGTAAATGTAGAGGAAAAACAAAGGAGGGCACATCAAACAAAGCATGGCCCGATTCGTGATGTGGGTTACGATCGGATAGTGCTTAGTTTTATAGCTAGAACCAGTGAATAAGGGTGCAGTTAGAGCCCATATTATAGGAAAAAGCCACATCCATCCAGAGCTGTAGGCAGGGGTAGAAGAGGCAATGATGAGACACAATCATTAGAAAAGTCATTCATTTATCAGAGCAAGTTATGACACGCATTGCGGCGACGCAATCATAAGAAGCAATGATTACAAGTTTGGTCAGACGTAATTATTAGAGGCACTGATGGGAGGCAATGATAAGACGCGATTATTAGAAAAACAATGGGACGCAATTATTAGAACAAATTATGAGATGCAGTTATCAGAACAAAGTATGAGACGCATTCATGAGATGCATTTATTAAAGCACTGATGAGAAGCACCGAGGAGAAACATCGATGGGACGCATTGATGAGACGCAATTAGTCGAAAAAATAATGAGTAGCACTGATGAGAAGCAATGATCAGACCCACCCCCAACCACCCGGCCATTATATAACCGGCCATTATATAACCGGCCAGCCAAACCAAAGACCCAAACCGAGCCACTATAGGCACCAAAAATCAGCCCAGACACAACTAGAAATTTCCCCTAGAACAGCCCTAAAAAAATTCCTCTCCATGAAAACGCCCCTCCTGGTCGCAACTGCAAAAAGCCTCGCCTGCGCCATACTAAAGCCGGGCGTGCGCGCACCGCGCGCGCCGTCGACCGGCCCTGGTCCACGGCCTCCCATATCAGAAAGAACCATACCATACAAACCCATTACCTAGTATTTCCGGCTCCCTTCCACGTCCATATATTTAGCCTCGACTACCCCGCCACTTTCCCCGCGGGCCTAAAAAACACACACTGACCACCATTTGAACCCGTGCCGAAAACTCACCGGTTTTGTCGCTTAATTACCCGCCGGCCCCTCAATACCCGCCGGCCCTCAGAAACAGCCCCCTATCCCAGCCCCCCATATCAGCCACCACAAAATGGAAACCTCAAACGACGACCTTTTTCCCTTGGCCTTGCTCATAGACGAGTTGAAGCACGACGACGTGGCCAACCGCGTTGCGGCCATGCAGAAGCTCGACGCCATTGCCATAGCCTTGGGGCCCGAGCGGGCGCTCAACGAATTGGTGCCCTTTCTAAATGACGTTGTGCAGGACGACGAGGAGGAGGTGTTTGCCGTGATGGCCGAGAAGTTGGGCGGCTTTGTGCCCTTGGTGGGCGGCCACGCGCACTGCGAGCCTTTGGTGCGTGTGTTGGCCGTGTTGCTGTCCATGGAGGAGCCCATAGTGCGCGACAACGCGGTGGCGTCGTTGAACCAGATCGGCGCGGAGCTCACGGACGCAGAGGCCAACGGGCTCTTCTTGGACATGGTGCGCGACTTGGCGCAGGGCGACTGGTTCCTGAAGAAAGTGTCGCTGTGCGGCTTGTTCAAGGCTGTGATTGTGCGCGTCAGCGCCACGGTGCGCCGCGAGTTGCTCGTGCTCTACCACGGCTTGGTGGCGGACGACTCGCCCATGGTGCGCCGCAGCGCGGCCAAGCACCTCCCCGTGTTGATCGACCACATGACGCGTGCCACGCGCGAGAACCCGGCGTCCGCGGACAGGGTGGATGACACCGACTTGGAGATCATCTCCAAGATGTTCCACCTCTTGATCAACGACTCGCAGGACAGCGTCAAGTTGTTGAGCATCGACGTGTTGCTCTCCATCTTGCGCTTCTTCCATTCCGTGGCCGACCAGTCCCACAACTCCGACTGCCTCGTGAGCGCGTTGAAGTTGATCAAGGACGACAGCTGGCGCGTGCGCTACGCGGCCGCAGACAAGTTCGCGGAAATCGCGGCCTGCTTCGCGGCCTCCGCCCTGGACTTGCTCAAGCTCTCCGACCCGTTCGTCGGCTTGATGAAGGACAACGAGGCCGAGGTCCGCAAGGCCATCGCTTCCCAGTTGCCCGCCTTCTGCAAGTTGCTCAACGACCCGGAGTTGACCGAGAAGAAGATCATCCCGGTCGTGAGCCTGTTGAGCCAGGACTCGCACGAGAACGTCCGGGCCGCCTTGGCCTCCACCGTCACGGGCCTCTGCCCCATCTTGTCTGAGGAGTCCACCATCGACAAGTTGTTGCCCATCTTCCTCAACATGCTCAAGGATGAGTTCCCAGATGTGCGCTTGAACATCATCTCCAACTTGTCCATCGTCAACGATACCATCGGCATCAACTTGTTGTCCACCAGCTTGTTGCCCGCCATCACCGAGTTGGCCCAGGATAGCAAGTGGAGGGTCCGCTTGGCCATCATAGAGTACATCCCCAAATTGGCCAACCAGTTGGGCGAGCCGTTCTTCAATAACGAGCTCTTGACCTTGTGCATGTCTTGGTTGTGGGACCCTGTCTACGCAGTGCGTGACGCGGCTGTCAACAACCTCAGGGACTTGACGGTGATCTTCGGCTCCGCCTGGGCCGAGGAACACATCGTCACTCGCTTGTTGAACATCAAGGACGAAAAAATCAGCGACGAGGACGAGGGAAGCGCCGGACAAGTCGACTTTTCCAACTTCATCATCAGAATCACCTGCCTATTCGTGGTCTCTAAACTCACCCCAGTCATCGACCAGAGTGTCGTAGTCAACAAGATCATACCCTTCGTCAGTCATCTAACTGCCGACCCAGTTCCCAACATCAGGTTCAACGTTGCAAAGTCGTACCTCGTGATTGTGGAAGCCTTGGTCAAGGCACCTGGCTCTGATGTTACGGAGTTGATCGACAATGAGATTATGCTGAATTTGAACGTGCTACAGGGTGATGCTGACGTGGACGTGAGGTACTACGCAAACAGCAGCCTTGAATCGATCATGGGCTTGTCCCAGAAAGTATAATTGCCACGCCGCAAAGCGAGTCAAATGAGTGTATTGAATCGAAGCCATTGAGTACTTCTGAATGACCTCATATTTTCCTTCTTGTCAGGTCTTCTTGAACTCCCCCACAAAGACAATGAGCGAGGCAGAGGAAGTCTAGCGGGAAGAGGCAGATGCTACGTGATTCTTTCAGAAGGCTGTTGTGGAGACACGAGGAACATACAGCGCGAGATGCAAACCCGGGCCTACGAGGGTAACGAAATATGTCGTAAGTATCATTGAACAAATCTTTTATGAAGCGTGGCTGGCGCGATGTGGCGAGAGCTCAAGCCTTGCTCTTCGCGTTCTCGAGCTTTTCGAAGTCAAAGTCAAAAGAAGCGCCACATCCACACGACGTCGACGTGTATGGCGAGTCGACCATCTTGAACGAGGACCCGATCAATTCCTTGGTATAGTCAAGCTTGGAATCCTGGAGAATTTCTAGCGAAGACTCGTCGAAGACTACTGTGGCCATATTAGAGTCTCGTCTTTGAAAGACCACCAATTCGTCATCTTTTTCGAGCTCTTCTTTCAAGCTCGAAAGCTCGAAATCATACTGGAACCCGTGGCAGCCACCACTCTCGACCTTCACTTTGAGAGCCAAGTCGGCAAGTCGGTCATCCTTGGCGATTTCGACCAACTTCGCTTTCGCCCGGTCCGTGATGCCTATTTTCAAATCCGTGGTTCCACGAATGAGGCTAGTCATGTCAAAATCAGTCAATTTTTCCGTAGTCTTTGGTGCGTCTTCGCTGGCAGAGTCTGTCACAGATTGCGGGGTTTCTTTCGGTAGCGCAAAAGATAAAGATTTAAACGATTTCGGTTCCACGGGCTCAGAATAAAATCTCCGGAAAAGGCAAGGAACGGGCCTTCTTATGGTAGTGGAGCCAGGATGAGCAAGGGCCCTGGTTCCGGTTTTCCCCGAGATGAGCGGCGAGGATCTTATACTGGTCAATGTATTTCTGATCATTTTGAACTCTGGTCTTTTTGGGCAAGGTTTCAAGAGAAGCTAAGAACTTAGCCTTGAAGTCTAGCAACGCTATGTAATTTTAGGTAAGCGTGCAGGCCTCACGGGCCGTTTCGCACAGTTCGCTGACAAACGCTGATTCTGATTTGCAGTGGATTTCAAAGCGGATGCAAACTGGGACCGAAACCAGAAAAACGCGAACATTACGAATTATGACAAACAAAAGAATGCTTCGTTTTCCTGTACTATCCTCTAAACGAACGGAAACGAACGGGAGCCATCTTTGAAACCCAGCTGACATTAATGAAATGCTGGCGTCTTGATGAACATTTCTTTAATCACTTTATACATCTGGGATCTACTCAGGTCATCAGAAGCTGTACTTCCGATTCGGCAATTCGCACGAACTTGCTTATACAATTCTAAACTTGGGATTTCTTCCACTAAGGGGAATCCTGATGGACGTCTTTTCTGGATGGACTGCATCCCCGTAGACTAGACATAGTTATCGTCCGAGACTCTCCAAGACTCCAAGAGCTTCAAGTGCTGCCAGTTCTCCTTAGGGCCTTCCATGCCCCAGGAGAAGTATCTGAAGTACCAAAACGTTCCGATCATCAAGGCATACAACGCAGCGTAGATTGCAGCGTAGATGATCTTGTTGGCCTGTTTTGGCGAGTTCTTCAATGGTCTGGTGAACGATTCAACAATGTATACGAACACAATCATGGCGAAGTACAACGCTGGAAGGTAGTGGTGCACGTAGGTGACTCTGCCCATGATGACAAAAGGCATGAAGTGCAACCCCCAGCCAAACATCGGGTAGATACCGCCCATAAGGAACACCTTGAGCGACTCCGGCGTGTCAAAGTCCACGATCTGTCTCTGCCATCTGATCAAGTGGTACAAGGTGATGAAGCAGAACAAGATCACAGCGGCCGTGGACGTCCAGGTCGTGGCTGGGGAGCCGACCAAGTAGTACTTGATGACGTCGTCAGCCCACGAACACATTCTGATACCGGTGTGCAAGGTGGGCCATTGCCACCATTGCGAGGCCAAGTCGTCCTGCTTCTCGTCGTCAGGAACCAAGGCGTTGTTGGTCGCCATCATGGCCAAGTTGAGCTGGATGAAGTCCTTGAAGAAATTAGTCTTGGGCAACTTGAAGTCCTCAGGGGCGTTGGGCAAGATGTCGTTCTTGTTGTTCTCGATGTTCCACCAAGTTCTCTTGTCCTTCCTAAATGGGTTCTTGAAACACGCCACCTCGCCTTGTCTGAAACCCCACTGCGGCAAGTTGTTGCCCGTGACACCCAAGTAGCAGCCCAACACACGGTTCTTCAATCTGAAAGAGGTGCTCAAAGGGTGCAACACGGCCTTGTCCTCGGAGCCGTGGTTCTCCATGATTTCGACCTGCCAGTCGTCCTTGAGGTCGCCAATGCTCATGTCACCATAGCACGAGACTTCGTACTCGGAAGTCAGTAACGGGGCCTGGACCTCGTGGGTGTGCAAGTTTCTGCCGGTCAACGCATGCACCAATCTCACCATCATACCGTCCTTGACGTACTCGATGTCCGTGTTTGTCTCGGTGTTGTAGAACTCTGTGGAGCGGGATCTCTGGAAAATCCAGTTGTTGTTGGAGTCCTTGTGCGAGTAGGTGGTGACTTGCTGTTGCTTGGAGCCTTCAGGGAACGTCTGGACGTGCGAGTGGAGCAAGCCGCCGGTCAAGCCCTGGCTTTTGAGCGTGGCCTGGGAGTGGCCGATCGTCACGTCTCTGGGCCCGCCGCCCACGTCGGAGCCGAGCAAGTTGGCCTGGAACAAGGAGGACATGTTGGCGTCGCCGGTCCCGGTCCTGTACAACAAGTCGAAGTGCACCTTGAACGCCAACAAAAACACACACATGGGCACGACAATCAAGGCAAAGCCGCGCGCGGCCCAGTGGCACGTGTACCGCTTCCAGGTCAAGGACTTGTCGCCCAACTTGTTCCACAAGTCCACCACGGTGTAAATGCCCACCAAGGTGGTGACGAAAAGCCCAACCATCTTGGCCGAGCAGGTCAAGCCGATGGCCACGCCGTTGAGAACGAGCCACTTCCACCACTTGCGCGTGAACTCCAACTTGCGGGTGTTGAAGTTGTTGAAGCGCGCGAAGGTGAAAAGCGTCAAGGCAGTGAAGAACAAGAGCGGCGAGTCGAGCAACACGAACTTGCCCAAGGTCACGTAGGACAACTCGAACGTGACCATGATGGTGTACAACCACGTGGCGGGGATGGAGAAGCCGATCTCCTTGGCGGTGAAGTAGGCCAAGGGCGTGCACAACGCCGAAAACGTGGCCTGGAACAATCTCATTTTCGTGTAGTCAATGTAGTCCGGGTAGGTCTGGCCCGAGGGGAAGTCCCACGAGCCGTTGTAGCCCGCGATCCAGCCGGAAAGCCCCACCATCATCTTGGCCAAGGGCGGATGGACGTCGTGGTAGAACTCGTGTCTCAAGTAGTAGGAGCCGAACTTGCCGAAATGTGCCTCGTCCCACACGACGCTGCTGTTGACGGAGATCCTGTACATGCGCAAAACGAACGACACCACGGTCAACACCAACGGCGCCAACCAGGCCTCCAAATCCACAAGCGCCCGAGTCGTCGACTGCTGGTACTTTTCCTGCGCAGAGACATCGGCGTGTGCGGGCTCGGCGGCTGCCAGCTTGGCCGCGGCCGGCTTTCTCAGCCGGGGGCCGGCAGCGGCAGTTTTTGCGCCTGACGCTGTCATTTTGTTAGGGTGTTTTGCTAAGAAAAGGGCGTAGGTTAAGAGAAACCGGGTGGTGCGCGTGGGTTTGAAGAACTGGCTACGTGTTAACGACGCGACGGCCCCTGTGCAGGACGAACCTGGCGATCGCGCGGATCTGGCATTGGGGCGGCCGGGCCACTGGGCACTTATGGGGCGGTGGGTTGGAAGACCCTGTGTGATGGTTTGGGATAGATCCGGGTTTTGGTGGGTTATTATTGTTTTTTTTTTTAATATGATCCTGCCTGTGGTGGGCATGGACCCGGCTGACTGGGTCGGATTACTGTTTTTTTGTTTTGGCTGTTCTTTGCATTCTCTCATTTGTTCTCTAATATCTGGCGTTCCATTTAAGCTCCGTGCTTTATTTGCTTTCTGAATTTTTTTCTCCCTTCTTTTGGGTTTTCCCTCTTTATGATTTCTCCCTCCTTTTGGTTTTTCCCTCCTTTAATTTCTTCCTCTTTATGATTCCTCCCACTTGGATTCTGTCTTTTTCTGTATCTATTATTTTCTTCATTGCAACATTTTCCACTGATAATAAAGTGTATTTATAGGTGTTTTTCGCAAGTGCGGCCCCGGGTTTTTGCCATACTCTGAACGCTTTAATTTCGAATACTTTGACAGAGATCTCAACACGGCCAAATTCGATTCCCCAATTTATTTTTTATGATTTGGATATTTGAATGTTTGTAATCTTGAATATTTGGAAACTTGAATGCTTGGAAACTTGAATGTTTGCATTTCATTGGTTGCTTTCATTTCAACGCCTAGAACTGAGACGGAGAGCTGGCCAGTCGACAACTCTTTCAAGAACTTAACCATATTGAATTTACTCGTCACCAATCGTCTAGGTCTACACTTGGACATGGAAGATTGCATAAAGTGAGCTCCCTTTCCAACTTCTGAGTTGAAGCGACTTAGGAGAAATATCCTAAGAGTCGAAGACGTAGTAACCAAGACAGCCGCGATGATAAAAGATATCAGGCCGTTTCTCGACATCACTTACGTCTTTGGGGTATTTTTGTACAGACTTCATCAAATAAGTGTTTAAGAAAAACCTCAATCACCTCAATTCCTTTGATTGCTTCACTATTTTGATTCCGGCAATTCTTCAATTTTCAATCCCTCCTACTCCTTTAATTCGACCAATTTGCTTCTTCTGGATCTATTGATGATATCCAGACGGGCCTTGGGAGCACCCCGGAGTGCTTACTTCTGAAATTCCATATGGCCCTCGTCCATGAAAAAGATGGGGTTATGAAAAAAATGGAGTTTGTAGTGGAAAAGTTTCTGGGCTTGAAACTTGGCACTTTTCAAACCTACAGCCAAAATACCACTTGAGGCCGGACTCCAAGTACATGAAAATGAAAAAGGAACTATGAATGAACTGATGAACATTTGCCTTTTGCGCCAAATTCAAAGCAAGCCTCTATTGTGAATACTGGCGATAGACATCTAAGCCGCAAGGCACCCAAAAGTTCCAAGACGAACAGACATGAGTTGGTGCCAGACTAACAGCCACCATTTGATGGCTTTTGAAACCCCGATTTCCCCTATTTTGTGATTTCATGTATATTTCAGGCTCAAATAGGGCCAAGCACGATCTAAACTACGCTAATAATTCTCTGTAGACGCATCATTGGTGCAATCTCACTATGGCGATTCCCAATTATCTCATGCCTTGAGATCAGGGCTGTCGCTCCTCATCTTCACGGATTGTCCATCGACCACCTGAGTGGTGAATCCGGCAAAATTCTCACTCAAGTCGCCGTCGTCGTCCACTGTTTTGGCAGGACCGTGGTAGCTCTTGTGTGCGTAAACATAGTAGTATACAGCAGAAAGAATCCACACTCCAGGCGTGAGAACAACAGTATAATTCATCGTCTCCCTAGTTGGATTTGTGTCTGTGGGGAACATGACCATCACAATTGTGTACACCACAAAAACAATGGAGATCCAGCCGTTGACCCTGCTCCACAATGGGCCCAAATAGAACCGGCCAGGAACAAACTTGTCATTCATGTATATCAACCTCAAGAATGTAGGCATTCCCCACGCAAGATAGTTGCCAGCAACCGCAAGAGTGAACAACGCATTTGCAGCAGTATCTCCAATAAGACATAAGAGTCCGACAACAATCGCCGCTGCACCGCCAGTAAATACCGCATGTATTGGAACAGATAACTTCTTGTTGACCTTCTTGACCCACCAAGAGAAGGGCAATCCATTATCTCTAGCAAAAGCAAAGATTTGTCTCGAAATGGCAGTGAGAACAGACGCGCCCATCATAAACTGTGCAATGGATATGAGAACCATGAAAAAGATGGCCATTTTCTTGCCTTGGCCAGGGACTGTTTCAAATGCATCGTAGATGATCTGCGCCATGGGCAGACCATAAGCACTTCCCAACACCCCCTCAAGATCGTTCGATTGCAACGAAAACATTATCACAATCATGAGAATGAACCCCAAGATCCCACATGTACTAATGGAGCCGACAATACCCATGGGAATCGTCCTAGTGGCATTTGTGCACTCCTCTGACATGTGCACACATGAGTCGAAGGCACCAATGGTCCAAATTGCTGGCAACCAGGCCTGTGAAAGTTGTACCCATCCAACAGGAAATCCCGTAAGGGTCTCAAAGCTTCCAAAAACCCAGGACGCAGATCTAGGACTTCCTCTGCTGGCTGCAATTGGCATAGCAATAATAAATAGCACAATCAATCCAACATTAACTATGATCGACGCGGTTTGCAACCAAGCCGTGTGTCTCGAAGAAGCACAAGTCACCAAAACATGTGCCAAGACACAGGCAACAAAAACTCCATACGTTTTGGCCGAAGTGATTTCAAAATCACCGTCTTTGGCAATGACCACAATGGAGAGGACCTCCGTGGCAAATCCATAATCAATGGAACACAATCCACCAACCAAAGCCAAGGAGTTAGTGTTACCAATGATAAACGACACAATTGTCTTCAATTTGGGCGGAGCATAAAAGTTTGTCCAGTAGTACAACCCACCGCTTGTAGGCTGGAAAGAGGCATTTTCGCTCATGGATACACCAATGGTCAAGATCAAAAGCGAAGAAATCAACCAGCCCCAAATGGCACCGGCGGGCCCGGCTAGAAGCGCAATGCCCAAAGTCGACGCAATTGAAGGAAGTAATCCCATAATTGAGAAAGCAACACCGAACACCTGAATTGCGGAAAATTGTCTTCTCAACTCAGGCTTATATCCAATCTGAGCCAAGAGATCGTTATCATCGGACGAGAATATCGGGTCAATGTGTGGGGTCTGCACATTTTGGATGTTGTTATAAAACTGAGGGTTAGACGTCACAGCCTCAAGAACCTCCTGTTTGGAAAGGACTGCTTCCATGTTCTTGCTGATCTAATCTAGTTGAATGCGTATGACAGAATTGGCAGGGAAGTGGAGAGAAAAAATTCGAAAGACAGTTCTTACTTTTGTGAAAATCCGACAGAGGAAAAGGGTAGAGCAATCCTTTAAATCACATTTCAGATGGTAGGGGGTGCTTTCTTTGGAGATAAAAGGCCGATGTATGCTTTCGAATAATTACACTGAGATTCAAGCAATTCATGCATAATCGCCCATGTGCAGTTTATCTCTAACCACAGTTGCACTGCCTTGATGTCAGGAGAAGTTTGGCAAATGGAGAAGAATACTCAAAAACACAAATTAATTGCGTTGTTTATATTAATGTCGCTACAAGGAAAAGGAGATCTTGATCCTACGTCCAGCCTTGTGAAGACTCACACTGGCTTCTTTTGAGGAAACATCAGAACCTTCAAACAAACTCTTCAAAGCCAAAAAAAGAACACGTTGCCAGCAACTAAGATACTGAACCGAGATGATAGTCGAGATAAGCTGAATAGGCCTTTCAGTCATGCCAGGGGGGGACAATACGCCAGGAACTTCCTTATTCGGAAAATGCGATAAGAAACTTACCGAAATATTCTCTATGCACGCCTACTGTTTTGAGGCTCTCGGGCATGATCCTGTTCACTAAGCAACAAAACAAGAAGACAAATAATAAAGAATAATCGCAGAATTATTGTAATGTAAATTAACATGAAGCTGCAGATAGTTCATCAAGAGGTCATACGCTTCTCGCGTGGGTGTACTAATATGTGAGCCATCCTCGCATGAAGTCCAGATGAATATATGTCTTTAGTGTCATGTTGCTAGAAAACCTGCGAATGACATCTAAAAAGCACCCAAGCACAACGCCAATTTTCAAACACGTAGGTGGATGCGGTTGAAATTATCGTTAGAGCGCCGACGTATGTGCATATTTCATGTGGGCAAAAGCCCAACCGATTCTTACGCATGATACGATAAGGCTCAGCGATATTTTAAGCTTTAATCGAAAACGATTTCTGTAATAAGAAACTGGTTCCAGCTATCTTAGTTTCGAAATGCTTTTAACGTTGTATTGTGAGTGTGAAATACTTCAGTATGCAGAGAACAAGCTTTTGCTTCTCGCAGCTTATCGAATTGCGGGATTTTCTGTCTAATGAAGGATACTGTGACATCCTGTGCCACAGTACCAGAATAGTGCAAGCTGCAGCAAGAGATATCAATAGCAAGCTAAGGACAACAATTACCGAAGTATTCGTTTTTGTCCAATGTTTTATCAAAGTTGAATCATTCTGAATGTAGGGTTTTCTTGACATAGATTTGGGTCAGAAGGAGCAGGTCTAAGACTTCCTAATTAGTTTTGGCTTGGCTATATATTCTACGATACTCCGGCGACGTACAAGAATTTGAACAGCTCTCGTACTCTGTTGACCACTGAAATCACGGAATGTGAGTTTGTTTTATGTTCTTTGCAATTCGTTCCATCAAGCGACTAAATTTCGGCCCGGAAATACTCCAGGGGTTATTATGGAAGCGCACTTTCGGATGGCATTATCAAAGCCAGATTTCTATTCACAATGAATGTGCATTACAGATAAATCTACCAAAAAAAGCTCTTTCCCTAATTATTCCGTTAAAATTAGCTGTGTGATACAAATTCAAAATATTTTATCACAGGTACGAATACACCAGATTTTATCGAGCTGCCTACTAGCATACATGAGTATCTTTAGTGTTGGGATTGCCACTAGTCGATGACTCGAATCCAGACCTAGGAGAAATCACAGTTCCTCAAGGAAGAACAAAAGAATATAATACTGGGCGTATCCTTATACCACTCAGAAATAAAACACGATGTCTTCGTGGTTTCTCGTCACCCGCTGTCTGAAATAGCCTCGAGCTCCGAGCTGTATATCCGTCAGTAGAATATCAATAGTAGCTGAAACTCGTCAATAACCTGATACACCAAAGAAAAAAAATGCGTACTGCTCGGCATTGGCTCGACGGAACATCATGGTAAGGACTCGAAACTGTAACATTTAGGAGGAAGGATTTCTCATCGCGCAGCGTTGCAGGCCTTTGGGTGTTTAACATTGTTTGTCATTAGTTCCTTCAAATAAGGTGCAACGTAGAATCATCCCAGGGCGCTGATTCTCAAAAAATAGAATATTCGCTTTATAGCACCAATTCAGACAAACTTGCACATCGTTCTTTCATTCCTAGGAACTATCTTGTATGGTATCAAACCGAGATAAAAGTACTCTGCCAATGCAAAAATTGGTCAATCTAATCAAAAAAGATGAACATTTTGAGAAATTGACAAAGCAATCATAGGCACAAATATGTCACTGTGAATATGTCAGATGCATAGTCTGTTTCAAGTTCAAATGCGTGTTGATGCTCAGCATATGTACTAGCGGGTTTTATAAAATACACACGGCGTTTTGTCACTTTCACTTAGCATGGGCAGCATCTTGCATATATATCGAACTTCGGTAACAAGAACACAGCGGCTACAATTCTACCTCTCATCAGTTGTTGTTGAAGTTGGCACGGGGTACTTCCAGTTTCTCTACTCACGGTGCTGGTCTACGTTTTGCAAACAAAAAACTCGACTTCATTCCAAGACTGACTCACGCATGCAACATGACAGCGATATGGTTTCAAGAGAACCCGCCAATCGGTGCCATGCCCGCATATCAATGCATGGTGACTGGCGGAACGGGTGCGCTGGAATTAGAAAATATGCAACTATAGCCTGCGTGTTATTTTCAATATACAAAACCCTTATTCCAAAAGACTTGGGATAGACGTTTTTGAAGAGAATTCACATCTATTGAAAGATGCAGGCTTTTTCAGGGAGCTTGGACAGCTTTGCTGAAATTTGCCGTGAACTCTGGTGAAATTCGGGCACATGCGGAAGGACCTCACGAAGGAAGAAAGACCCAATTCTACTTAATGTTCCATCCGGGTTATGAGCTTGTCGTACATCTGGTCCATGCAGGCCGTGACAGGAGAATAAACCAGCAAGTGGGTTTGGTAGTACGTAGAAAATCGAAAGTGGAGACATTCCAGGCAAAATTGAAAGGAGGAAGGCAACTAGAAGCAGCAAACAGTATTGGTTTTACGTTTATTCTGTTTGGCCACTTAGACGCATTCTCACAAGTGCCTGTCAGAGCAGGAAGCCTGAAAACAGAGTTGCCGAAATCATTGTAGCCAGTTTAGCAGGCCGACTCTGTTGTCTCACCAACATTGAACATTAAAGCTTGCTCTATAAAATTGGGGACAACAGCCAGTCTCTGGGTCTCTGGGCTATAGTGGCTCGAGTGCCCCATATATGCAATCCTTCCTGGCTAGTAGTAGGCGTCACTGCACCACTGCTGATGCCATACAGATATACTCTCTTTGAACGAGCATTGCCTGGAAAGCGCTGATATCCTTTTCAATGGGTTTTTTATGCTTGGTTGTAGTTTTTTTTTTTTTCTATTCCATGCCTTTCATTCCTATCTCCAAATGAGCTCCTGGGAAAACACATCGACTCGGCCTTGGCCCGCCGTTCAAGTGCGTGCCGTTTCGCGGCCCTAATAAAAAACAAGACGATACAATGTACAAATCAACAAACAGTGCCCCCACCACCCAAACCAGGAACTCCACCGGGCAGACCCAAACACCGCCACACCACAGACTCTAGGCTTGCTTTGATCTACCCCCTCCTTTTTGCCGAATGACGACGGCCAGCCACACGACCACGAACCCCGGGCCGCTCACGTGACTGCTAGCGTACCTCTCAGCACAGGTGCGTAGCATCCGTCCCGCCTGCACACGCGCGCTCGGCATCTCGCCGGGCTCGAGAAAAAAAGGTTTGGTGAAAATTTCTACACCTCTTCTCCTCACCAGAAACATCCAAAATGGCTTTCGACAAATCCGCTATCAAGACCTCTGCCTACTCCTCGAGATTCCAAACTCCTTTCCGTAGAAGACAGGAGGGTAAGACCGACTACTACCAAAGAAAGAGATTGGTGGCCCAGCACAAGGCCAAGTACAGCTCGCCAAAGTACAGATTGGTGGTTAGATTCACTAACAGAGACATCATTGCCCAAATCGTGTCTTCCACCATCACCGGTGACATTGTCATGACCGCTGCCTACGCCCACGAGTTGCCCCAATACGGTATCAAGTACGGTTTGACTAACTGGTCCGCTGCCTACGCTGTTGGTTTGTTGGTTGCCAGAAGAGCCTTGCAAAAGCTCGGTTTGGATGAGACCTACACTGGTGTTGAGGAGGTTGAGGGTGAATACGAGTTGACCGAGGCTGTCGAGGACGCCCCAAGACCATTCAAGGTTTTCTTGGACATTGGTTTGCAGAGAACCACCACCGGTGCCAGAATCTTTGGTGTCTTGAAGGGTGCCTCTGACGGTGGTTTGTACGTCCCTCACTCGGCCAAGAGATTCCCTGGTTGGGACATTGAGTCCGAGGAGTTGGACGCCGAGCTCTTGAGAAAGTACATCTTTGGTGGCCACATTGCCGAGTATATGGAGGAGTTGATGGACGACGACGAGGAGAAGTACAAGCAAGTTTTCAAGTCGTACATTAAGGACGAGGTCGACCCAGAGGACGTTGAGGAGATTTACGCCAACGCCCACGAGAAGATCAGAGAGGACCCATCCTTCAAGCCAACCCAAAAGAAGCACACCAAGGAGGAGTACGCTGCTGAGTCCAAGAAGTACAAGGCCACCAAGATCTCCAGAGAGGAGAGACAGGCCAAGATCAACGCCAAGATCGCTGCTTTCAAGGCCGAGAACTAAGTTTCTGCTTGAACTTGTGTAACTTGTCAAACTTTAATCTTAATTTTCTTTTCTCGCCTGCCCACATGTAGTTTCCCTTACCCGTGCCCTTTTGCCGTCAACCGCTGTTTCCACCCGCCCCGCCTACCCTCACTCACTATCGGTGGCACTCGCCAACTGTGTCACCAACCACGGTTTCTCATTATTCATTAATGTATGTACAAGCGCAAGCAACTCTCACTTGTTCGACATCACGCGCTGGGCTTCGTTGAGAAGCTTGTCATAAGCCTCATCAACAACCGGGTGCACACCAAGGCCCTCGCCAGAGTCGATGGAGACGTTGTCTTCGCCGCTCAAATGTTCTGTTGCATCTTGGAAAGCCTCGCTCTTGCTGCTCATCGTCAACGGGCTCCCAACCTCACCGTCACTGCCAGTGACTTCGTCTATTTCCTTGTTTCTGTAGATGTTCTCAAGACTCACTCTCTGAGTATTGATTTTGGAGATGAGGTCAGTCACAGACTCGACGCCCTTCGCGTCGATGATGGCCTCGCGAAGCTCCGACCCGGACGGAACGGTCCCGAAAACGGAAAGCTCTTGTCGACATTCGTCTCCATTCAACATATCGGAAACCTTCTCCTTGTTGTCTAGGTGCTCCATGAAGTAGCCCCAACGGAGAAATTCACCTTCCTCCTCCTCCTGTTCCTTAGCGTAGAGCGATGATTGAGAGACCGACTTCATGAGGATCGGTCTTCCCGTTAGATTGTCTATAATAACGTCCCGCCCGTCTGAATTCGCGTCAATGACCACCAGATGTGGTTGCAATGTCGATTCGTTTCCTTGAAAGCCACTTGATCCATTTGGGCGAGAGGTTCTAGCCATCAAAATCGGACCAGCTGCAATCAACGCCGAGGAGCCGGCATGAAGCTTTTCACGATCCACTTTAAGCGAGTTTTCCGTGTCTTGAATGGAAGTAGAAGGGCTCAAGGGGGTCGAGCTGAACATCTTCGCTTTTTGTTCGAACATGTGAACGAGTTTCTCGAGCGACGCATCGAGGAGACAGAATCGAAGGAGGTTTTCCTTTCCCTCGAAAGACAAATTTCCATTGTTTCTTTGCTCAAAGAGCGAGTCGATCACGCGATGCATATCTTTCCTGACCGAGTTGGTTCTTTCAATAAGCGCATTTGTGATTATTTTTTGCAACTTCAAGTCGACCTCTCCTGGATTCTGATCACTTTCTGTCAACATTTTCTCGGCCGTTTCCATTAAAAGAGATCCATCGAACATCACGTCGTCCTGCTCATTGTTCCCAGCATAGTCACTGATATTTGGCTTGACTGCCTTGTCAAAGTTTCTCATGAGGTAAAGGGCAAGGCGCTGTGAAAGTTCGTCAGGGATAAGGTCGTAGTCCAAGTCTAGGGTAAATATTGAAGACAACTTCACCGCTGTGTATAAGGCGCCGATAGAGCCTCGGTCTAGGTTAGTGTTTCCCAACAAGGATACATGGACAAGGTTTGGCACTTTGGGAAACACGTCGGCAAGTGCGGCAATGGACTGCGAGGAGAGCTCATTCAAGTCGAAATGCATTCGTCTTAGACTCTTGAAGTTGGGAAGATATCTGCCCAATTTGGAAATAACATGAGGAAAGAGCTGGGGTAGCGAGCTGAAGTCGAAAAAGCGAAGGTTCTCGAGTCTCGACAATCCTTTCAAGAGATCGCCAACCTCGTCTATGTCAGACAAAGAGGTGGCGTTCAATGAGAAGAAAACCAAGTTGACCGTTTTGGTATTAAACGCGTCAATGAATGGCTTGAGTTGTCCCTGGCTCAAGTCATTCGAAGCAATGTCGATCCCCACGCATTTGGAGTTGGGTCTACCAATCCAGTCGGCCAAAAGCTCGCATTTCCGCACGTTGATTTCCGTTGCCGCAACGCCTAGTCTGCATGTCGACACTGTTAAAGCATGCTCCAAGAGATTCTCGAAGACGTCGTCGCTCAACTTGCAGCCGCCCATGACCAATTCCTCGATGCCGTTTCGAGACTTGAGCGCGTCGATGAACAAGTTCCAGTTCATGGCGGATCTGACGGACGAGGGCTTGGTCAAGTGCTTGACTCTCTGCTGCGAGATATCTAGCTTTTTCACGTTGTGGTTGCGGGACATGAACTCACACAAGTAGCCCCACCCTGCTTTGTCAATAGCCACGTTTCGCAACGAGAGCTTTTCCAAGTGCTTGCTGTGCACCAAGCCGGCAAGCACGTGCTTCAACATCTCGGTGGTCATGGTGACGTTGTCGAAGATGACAGTGTTGATGGGCATGATGGTGATGAAGTCGCTGAACGAAAGCACATCGATCAACGTGGGTCTGGGGTTGAGCATCTTAAGGATCTGCAACGGCCGCGGCTTGTGCTTGAGCTGCTTCAACGTGGCCGGGATGGGGAGGATCTCGCGCAAGTGACAGCACCGCGTGTATATGGTTTCGGGCGTGAGGTCGTCGTCCTCGTCGTCGGACACGAGCGGCGTCACGTTCTCGAAGTGGTTGAGGTGCACGTGCAACGGGTTGTCGATCGCGATGTTCTCCGCGCCCTGTGAGATGTCGTCCTCCTCCGCGTAGGCCGCCAGGGCGGACTTGCTTGACGCCTTGTACCCCGCAATCTGGCACGCGAGCTTCTTTGCCGACAAATGTGCCTCCACGGCATGCTTTGCGGCTTCCAACAGAGCCTTGTGCTGCGCCTCTAGCGCCCGCTGAAACTCCTCGTCGGTGTAGCTGGGCTCCGCCGCCGCGCTGCTGCGGCTGCCGTCGGCCGTGGAGATCCCCAAGGCGAGCCGCGGCGGCGGGGCCTTCAAGTCCTCGGGAACCAACACGGCTCCCTTGCGCGGCCTGCGTGAGGGGATCTGCTGCTGCGGGTCCTTGTCTAGCTTGTCCAAGGCAAACGAGACCCTGCGCAAACAAAGCTCGGGCTTGCGGGGTTTCTGTGCAAGGTGGGCCGGGCCGGCGGTCTTCCAGGCGTCTGTGGGGGCCACGGCCGGGGGGGCGTCGGCCATCAGCGACCGTCTTCTGAAGAAGCCGCGCTCTTTCTCCGAGGACGGCCGCGGCGAGAGCGCCGCGAGCGACGTGAGCGACGCGCGGTGCACCAGCCTGTTTGGGGGCACGCCCTGGGCCAATTCCAGCGGCGGCTTGTTGACCGAGGCCGCGAGGTCCTGGTCCCGCGGGGACGGGCCGCCCGACGGCGCGGATTTCGGCACGTGCATCGCCGGCAGCACCGCCGTGGCAGTTGGCGATGAGGCGCGCAGGGCGCTGGGTGCGGGCGGTGCCGCGGGGGCCGAAGGCGGCGCCGAGAACGCCGAGTGTTTGAACTTGGCCGAGAGCGAGCTGAAGAACGAGCGTCCCTTGCCCGAATTGGCCCGCGACACCGGCGCCGGGGGCTGTATGGGGGCCACGGTGGCGGGCGGCTGCGCCACGGCCACGCTGGTCCTTCTGCTGGCGGCTGGCAGGGCGCCGGCAACCGCGGCAGGCTGCTTGGGCGGCTGCGGGGCGGACGACGAGCGGGAGCGCCGCGTGGCGGGCGGCAGCCCGACCGGGCTAGGGCCGGGGAGGCCCGTGTGCGTGTTCCGCGGGCTGGGCGGCGAGTCCGGGGCCGTTTGGGGGCCGTTTCTGGCGGGCCTGGCGTCGTTTCTGGGGGGCCTGGCGTCGTTTCTGGCGGCCGACGCGGCGGGCTCTGCGGGCTTGTTCTCGGGGCCGTGCGAGGCACGAGCATCCGACGCGGCTTCCGCGCTGGGGCTGTTCTCCTTGTCTCCGCCCGGCCGTGTGTCCCTGCCGCTGGAGGTAGGGGCCGGTCCAGCCAGGTCGGGGCGGTCCGGCGCGAGCGAAACCGAGGGCCGCCGTTCGAGATTGAGTTTCTTTTCGAGTTTCTTCGACTTGCTGCGGAAGAGCCAGTCCACGTCTCCGTTGGACACGCCTGTTGTGATGTCGGATGGCGGCGCAAGCGACATGGCGATGGAGGACAGCGGGCGGCAGGCGGGTTTCTGGGCGGGCCTGGGGTCGTGGGGCGCTCGGGCAGGCGGGGCTCGGAAAGCACGTGTTTTGCGGTCTGCGGGCTGGCGGGGTCGGGCGCAGAAAGAAAGTTTGGGTTTGTGGGCGCAAAGACAGGGGGGTGGCGGAAAGATGGACGGACGGGGTGCTAGTTTGTAGGCGTGGTTCAGCCATGGCCCCAGGCCCGGGGCCTGCAGGCGCCGCGAGCACTGGGCCGCTGGCCCTACGCAATCTGTTTTTTTTTTTTTTTTTTTTTTTTTTTTTTGGGCCC